CCAAGATACAGGACTTCAACAAAATATCGGCTTACTCGGCAGCACTGATGATGACTGTATAGTCGAAAGCGCTCTGCTACGTAAAATTTCAATAAATTATGTTGCACGAAATACAACATTTGGTAAAATTATTTGTGTATCTACACGTGCACACAGCTGAGTAACCATCACTCTAATATTATTGTCGATATTGATTTCAAGGTCTTTACTATCATCAGACTGTCGATTCATCATCCCAATTTGTCTAAATACATTTTTTTTTTATTAGAATTTGACGACCTAAATAAAATTCAATTCATTTATTAGACTCTGTCTGGTGGTTCGATTTATAAAGCAGGTTGACTATGATTTGATTGGCAAGTTGACTAATAAATACAAAGTGATCATCAATAGCATTCACTATCGGAGGAAGAAAAAAAAAACGGAAACAAATATAGCTCAATGAAATTCAATTCCTTATTGGCTGGAGTGTATCATATACTGACACCCTCTGATGGTATTGAATATGCTAGCCAGAATTGGCCAGAACGGCAACATTCCTACTGAGCTACTACATCTTTATTGAAATGATATGTGTGTACGGAATTTATTTACATATTGCTTGGTTCGATTCCCGGCAGAGCAGATTATTTTTATTTATAAAACGTGTGATAACTTCAAATTTTGATTCCGCACGATTCGCTGTTGCGTTACAATTAACAGTACTGCTCCTAAGGTGGCGTATGGAGTTAGTAACAAAGCCTACACAGAATACACATGGGCTGAAGGACCTCTAGCTCGTTAGGTCGATGGCCATTTGGTATGTACATACATACATACCAACGAAGTACATGTAATTACTTACTCACCTCATTTAAATGCTATGAATGAACATTATTAGTAGTAGTTTATGTATTTGGTTAATATGTATGTACATACCAACTGGCCATCGACCCTACGAGAGGTCCTTCAGCTCACTAGTGTTAGGTGTAGGCTTTGTTACTAACTCCATACGCCACCTTAAGAGCAGCACTGTTAATTGGAACGCAACAGCGAGTCGTGCGGAATCATCTTCAACCGAGGCTACGAAAATTAGAATATATGAGTCATTTTTATATAAACATTCTTTGCTCTTCCTAGCAACCTTTCGATGTTCTGACTACTAGTCGAGGGCCTCAACCACTGCGCTATTCCGCCGACCTAAAAATTAGATTTTTCAATTGAAACTGAAATATAATAATAAGTACTCTCATTGGCACGGTGCCGAACTAGATTATCTTTATTATTATTCCCAAGAAACATACATGTTTATAGCAGGGAAAATTATGAAAGAGCAACTAAAAAAAAAAAAAAATTAGATAATCAGATAATCATTTTTAAATCATATACATAATACATATAATGTTGTTTCTTCTAGAGACTGTTAAATATAATTTCTTGAATTGATTCAGGATGACATGAAGAGAATCAAAGACATAAGTATTTTTTCAGTTCTTTTTTGAATTTTTCAACACTTAATTTTTTCTTTAGTTTGGCAGGTAATTCATTCTAGAGAATTGTTCCATTGTATGAAATAGATCTTTTACCCATATCTGATTTAATTTTGATGAGAGTTAACATATCTTTTTGTCTGGTTATGTGTTCGTGTTTATGACTATTATAGTTAAACGATTTCAATATATCATATATATAATGGGTAGACGATTGTAAAACGTAGGTAGAAACATAATACGAATTGACACTATAGGCCCAGTGCCATTGACCAATGCAGCTTGGCAATGGCCAGCAATCTGCCATGTACTGGGCCAGAAAGCTGCCAGAGATTTGATGTTTGCTGGGGCAGCAGATACAAAAACAACAACTAATGGCTATTTTCAAATGAAAGTCGACTGTCTACTTTTAGGATAGAGGGTCACTTACATAACTACTATCTAGAGAAATGACATATACAGTGTGTCCCAGATTCGCTTCTCTATACAGGGATCTCGGCTCCTATTATACCTACAGCAGAGGTTAAATGGAGAAAGTTTCAGAGGAATCTTAGTGCATGCGATAACCGGCTTTAGATTTACGATCGGATAATTGGTTTTGGAAATATCGGCGAAAAACCGAAAATGACGGATTTCGTTTTTCGCCAGTAAATCCGAAACGGTTAATTTGACAGCTGTCAAAATGTTACATTATCTGGACACTTTTTTAAAACGAATAAGAGAGCATGTATGACATGTCACGATCGTATTTTGTTATACCGCAAGCCACCTCAACTTTCATTTTTCTTATGGCCGCCATATTGGAATTTTCGATTTTTGAAAAGAGCGTAAAATTTCCAGTCTAGTGATGTCTCACAAGTGCATAAAAGTTTTGAGTTTCATCGAAATATCACACTTCGTAAAGTTAGGTCTTGATTTTTTCTAAGGAGGCCATGATTTACTTGTCAGAAAATTGGGTTTTTATAAGTAACACTTTTTCCATTTAAGGATGCTCTGAGTTTGACATTAAATAGTTCAAAGCACCAAAGTTGTGTTTTGATAAAGAGTACTTGTAATCTGACACACAAATTGTCCTAATTTGTTGAAAAGGACATGTTAGCGCTGTACTTGCAGTCACGCAGAAACGCCGACATTACTTCAGCAAGGTATTTGGAGATGTACCCCGAACGACGGCAGCCTCATAAAACCCAATTTAGAAAAATCGTAGTTAATTTAATTAACCATGGGGCCTTCGAACAACCTAGAAGTAGATACAATATTGAAAATGAAAATCGCGACAGAAACATTATACAAACTGTCAACGAAAACCCCAGAGCATCGGTACGAACTGTAGAACGGGAAATTGGTGTGTCAAAATCAACGGTACAGAGAGTGTTGAATAAGAATAAGTACCATCCATACGAACCCACAATAGTTCAAGGACTTAAGGAAACTGATTTTCAGTAAGTAAGTAAGTAAGTAAGTAAGTAAGTAAGTAAGTAAGTAAGTAAGTAAGTAAGTAAGTAAGTAAGTAAGTAAGTAAGTAAGTAAGTAAGTAAGTAAGTAAGTAAGTAAGTAAGTAAATCATGGCCTCCTTAGAAAAAATCAAGACCTAACTTTACGAAGTGTGATATTTCGATGAAACTCAAAACTTTCATGCACTTGTGAGACATCACTAGAAATTTTACGCTCTTTTCAAAAATCGAAAATTCCAATATGGCGGCCATAAGAAAAATGAAACTTGAGGTGGCTTGCGGTATAACAAAATACGATCGTGACATGTCATACATGCTATCTTATTCGTTTTAAAAAAGTGTCCAGATAATGTAACATTTTGACAGCTGTCAAATTAACCGTTTCGGATTTACTGGCGAAAAACGAAATCCGTCATTTTCGGTTTTTCGCCGATATTTCCAAAACCAATTATCCGATCGTAAATCTGAAGCCGGTTATCGAATGCACTAAGATTCCTCTAAAACTTTCCCCATTTAACCTCTGCTGTAGGTATAATAGGAGCCGAGATCCCTGTATAGAGAAGCGAATCTGGGACACACTGTATAATCATTACAGTGATTCAAATATACGGAGACCCTTCATTATTGAACACTTGTTTCCAGGTAATAACAGAATTAGAACATATCGGGTTGGTCATTGAATGCCACCGCTCACTGTATGGATCCTGCAGTCATTCTATTAGCTTCAGGTTTTTGTACCCCTGATTCCAGTTTCAGTTGGCAGGTTGTCAATTCTCTCCTCATTCTGTGTTTGTAAACAGAGTTCCAAACCGTGAAACTTATGCGAGGTAGGTTTCTGATAGATTGGACTAAATAATGCACAGTGTAGGTATTTGAAAAACTATTGTTTTGTGCTTGTGTAGAATGGATAGGTATTTCAATTTGACAAAACTATGGTGTCACAATTCACAATATCACTCAATTATAATGTCATTATCACTGCATTCTCAACAGAAACGAGCAGTGGATTTATAAACTCAGACTTGATATGAGTTGTTAATCAACTATTAATACATACGTGACGTGAGGAAAATCTACAATGAATCTGAATTCATGTTGGTTGGTATAACAATTCGGTTCATCGGTCAGCAAGTGCTTGGAGATGTAAATGTAAAAAAAGTCAGAAACCCATAAAAATATTTTATATTTTCAATAAATAAATCGACTAAAATAAGTACCTACATAAATTGAGGAAAGATAAATAAAATCTGTTCAAGGTACATTATGATGTTACTGATACTAATTCCAGGATGGATGGCAGGCAGACTAATGACATTAATTAAACAACCATGATTTTCTTTTACTAGTAAATGAAGAACATCTTACTAAAAATTATTTACACATTATTTGAATTCCAAGAAGAAATAAATAAATACTCTTAACACTCAAGAGGTTTTTTTTAAAAATCAACTTTATAAAACTACAAAACTTAATAAATTTTGGGCATATTAACAATATTATAGATTGAAGGTTAAAGCTCCAAGTTTTATAATCCAGTTATAGCATTCTCTAAAAGGAATCTGAGTTTCAATATCTTCATAATTATTTTTCATGATTTATAATATGAAAGAAATATCACCTTTTAGGTGAATAAAACATGATTTTATCAAAGTATTTCGTAAATACCCGAATGTATCAGATTATTTCTGATTTGTATGATAGGAATCATATGCTGGATAAAGAGTACCATATTGAAGAATTGATTCAAACAAATTATTCTACAATAAATTATTGAAATTGCTTATCAGATCATGTGAAACTTGTGAGACGTGTATGGAATAAATTCTTTGAAAACATTCCCCGCGTTGTCACTCCTGGTCATATGTCTTTTGAGAAATATGAAATATCACAATGTCAGTACCCTATCAGTTTGACCGAATTTGAAAATGGTAGTGAACCTTCCTGATTGTTACAAACTAATTTGTGTAAATGTAGTGTTTCAAATTGTACTGAAATTGATAAATGAATGTCAACTATTACTTTCAATGATAGGCTAACATTCACTTAGATAAAAACTATTGCACCATGGTCATCGATAATGCCATCTTTTTATAGATTCCAGGTGATCCTTATTCAATTAATGGGAAGAACATTGTGTATTTCGAGTAAATGTGAAATCTCTTTACCAACGTATCTTCCAAATTTGATAACAATATCAAGTCCTCACAATTTTTCTCAATGGTTTCTTATAACCGCCACTGGTAATTCGTTTAAAATGAATTTAACTAATACGAGTACGCTAGCCAACGCTAACTTTGATACCCGTATCCAAATTGAGCAGCTGCTTGCACAATTCGTAAGTAGAGAAGGAAACGGCCACCATTGGAATCGCTCTCATGTAATTTATCGACATGCCTCTGTACAAACCCCGGACGATCCCGTGATCCTTGTATATCCTTGCCAGCGTCGAGAACATCCCTTTAGCGAAGTGGTGGGTGTCTGGGTTCATCATTGCCAGCTGCATTCGCCTACACATGAAAACAATGCGATAGAAAAAACCTAACCTGCTGAAGCAAGGTCCTATGAACTTGTTTGAGTGTTAGTGATGAGCTGGTTAATCCTATCTCGGATTTTATTCATGTCTAACCTAGAACACATACTCTACTTTCATCTCACCAATTCAGATCGATATAGTCTCAGGTATAGTCTGGCTTCTAAAAAGTTACCACAGGAAAGAATTGTGAAGCAAGAGCACAATATAAATGTTGCGATCATCAACTCACTGTCAATTTAAAAACGGAATCTCAACCCTAGCTAAATATTATGGTATCAATTCGAAAGTGCAGTCGGTCATATCGTTCATGACTTGGTGAAATCGACGTCATCTGCAAATCCGAATTGTTCAGATTCTCTAGGCTTCCAGGACTGAACGCTTTCATCCTCTCCCTTTCGTCCCAGGGCTTATTTGGCTGGCATTACTTTTGATCTGATCTCGTGGCAGTTTAGTTACATACATCTGTATCGAGATCTCCTAAGGGACAAAAACTGAGCGGAAACGTGCTCGTCACATTTCTGTCCTGATTATCTCCTGGTGGAGATGGTAGTGGGGATGGCAGCAGCAGATTCGAATATTTAGTCAAAGACCAAGTACCACTGATGAGCTCTCGTAGAGCTAAAGAGCTTTCTGGTATCTCTTTTTTCTAGTTTCAATATCGACCTCTTTCTGCCACAAGGCTGAACACCGACGCCGGTGAGCACCCTTTCCACAACCGGAACTTTCGCCGAACCCTCTGGTATTTCAACTAGAGGTAGGCCCTACCTGATCTGGTGAAATTGGCACCCTTCGGAGTCAGAAAACCAGGAAACACAACAGAAGAAAAAGAAGAACCAGAGGTAGGAATCAGTCCGGCATTCATGGCCTCGGCTCAACGTTCTATCCGAAGGACGGCATATCCTCACCATGTCTCGAGATAGATAGTAGTACAGTGACTCTACACAAGACAGTGGCGACAATAGTTGACAACGATTTGGTTGGCTATCGCTGCAAACGCCATTAGGAGGCAAATTTTTTGTTTATTGGGTTTATATGGTTTTTGCGTTGATCCAGTGATTTATTCTTCTAGTTCCCTTTTGTTTTTCAAATTGTTTTCATTGTCTTCAATAAATATAACATAACATCCACTTGTAGTGATCTCATAAAAATCGAGCAGTATGTATGCGTATTTATTCAAATTTGTCTTGATGATGCAAATAAATTAACATTCTGTTTGTGCATACCAAGTTTTATCTTGCAGTTTTCGTTTCAGATATATTATAAAATGCCTAGGTTTGTAGCTGTGGGCTGTGTTAATGGGGCTAAGGTTTTCTGATGAAAAAAATCCCAATATACCAAAATTGCAGGAAGGAATGGGCAATCAAAACAACGACAAATGGGTCCCTATAGATTCATCAGTTCTCTGTGAGGTATGTATTGTAACTATTCATTCTGTTGAAAATATAGTGATTTACTGTATTTTTACTTTATTTTGGCAAATACTCAAATGAGAGCTTTTTTTTCAGGCACATTTTGAACTTAGTAGAGAGAAAATCAGATAAAATGGAAGCCGTAGACTGGAAGCTGATGCTATAACAATTATATTTTCTTTCACAAAGCCCCATACCAAACAAAAAGCTCCTCTCAAGACAAAATTGCAGATAAAATCCGAATCAGAAATCGTGATGAGTGTACCTCAAGATCTCATTGACGATCTCAGTCGAGGGCCAATTGATTTCTATATTATATTTGTGTTGTATATAATGAATGTATACTTATTTATTTTTGAAATATGTTTCTTTGTTTTTTTTTTGTATGAAGTTTTCCATTTCTTCATGCATGACAAATAAGGGAATAAAGATTATTCAAGTGTCAACCGGCCAGTTCGATAATTTTAATGAAATCCGGACCATATTGAACAACAATATTGAAAGTATCCATTGATACTATTTACTTACAAAAAACAACTATACTACACATAACATAAGTACCTTAATATATTCAAGTAGCGTATTTCTGAGACAATTTTAGGGAAAAAAAGTCTATATGAACTTGTATCCGGAAATGCTTTGCTTCGGAGATACCAGGTGTTGAAATTGTTTTTTTTTGTTCTCTTTTGTTGTCTCGAGCATATCGTTATCATTATGAGGTTGAGAATGTCATTCAAAAGGTATTTCTATAGCCTGTAGCCTAATAGAGCGTATTTCTTCCTAAGCTGCAAGTGACAAATAATAATTCAATCACATGGTTTGACATGTGATTCACCTGCGATATGATTTCATGGATATTTCCGATGTTTTCATGACTAATAACTGTTCAAGTCATGATACTTTCATCAAATGATTGTTTCCTGAACCGATTTGAATAAAAACATGTGGGTAGGCATGCATGAAATAAACATACAAGAACAAATAAGCTGAATCAGATAGTATTGATCACAGCGCATGTTCACCATTCCGCTGAGTCTGCCATGTTGTGTAAACGTTTTTTTGAATAAAGTAATGAGGACTAATTTCCATTCTCTGGGCTAGCAATTACATTTAGTATGAATACATATAGACAATACACTCACTCAAAAGTCGGTTGTCAGTTGAATAAAAGAAAATGGAAGATACATATATATACAAATATACAATAATGGAGAATGAAAATTCTCGTTATAACTGATTCACTCTAACGAGTCAACGAGGAATTCTCTTACTGAATAATATGCTTTCTCCAGCAATATTTTCTTAATTGTTTGTTTGTTTTTTCTAAGACTCATGTTCTGTATGGTGCTCGGTAGTTGAAAAACTTAGCTCCGACATACCCCGGACTTTTCCCAATTTATGTTGAGTTACACTCAATACATTTGCCATTTTTGTTGGATAATTGTGGAAGGATGAGTTTCTCTTGAATGTTTGTATGTTTTCTTTTACATAACTTAATGTTTTATGAATATATATACAGGGAAAAGTCAATAAGTTGTTGTTAATAAATATAGTCTTGCAGCTATCTTCGTATTTCATACTGAACATAAGTCTCAGGATGCGTTTTTGTCAGACGAAAATTCTTGCAGAGTTAGTGCAATCTGCCCATAGGATGACGTTGTATGATAGGTGACAGTATACTAGTGAATAGTACATGTCCATCAGTACGTTTTAGTCCTATGTTTTTTTTTAGTTTTAGCATAGCAAAAAATCCAGAATTGATTTTTTCTTAATGTGTTCAAGATGGTTGTCCCATGATATATACTGATCTAAGTGGACCTTTGAAAACGAAACAGAGGCTCTAGGTCGCCGAAACCGGATTATGAAAAAAATCTGAAACACGTCAACTACATTTTCCAGGGGACATCGTTCTAAAATATTTTCAGCCTTGCGGCGTTGCCGCTTCTAACGAAAAGAAGCAACAATAACTTTGTTATTTCAAATGGAACACCTTGTATTTTATTGCATTCTTAGATTCTCCCCGAAGAGCTGATTGGGGGTCTAGCTGTAATGGTTTCAGGGATATAAAGTGATCAAAATCGAGATTTTTCAATTTTAGCAGAAACTATTCATTATTGGTCAAAACGGCTTTCATGTCCCTATCTCAACTTGTGATTTACTATCAACTGACATTTATTTGAAACAAATACAGGGTGGTTCAAGATTCAAAATTCTGATCACCCTGTATTTGTTTCAAATAAATGTCAGTAGATAGTAAATTATATGTTGAGATAGGGACATGAAAGCCGTTTTGACCAATAATGAATAGTTTCGACACAAAAAAATGCTAAAGTTGAAAAATCTCGATTTTGATCTCTTTATATCCCTGAAACCATTACAGCTAGACCCCCAAGGGTGATGCATTGATGACATCAGCTCTTCGGAGATAATCTAAGAATGCAATAAAATACAAGGTGTTCCATTTGAAATCACAAAGTTGTTGCTATCTTTCTATAGAAGCGGTAACGCCACAGCGTTGAAAATAGTTGTTGCTTCTTTTCGGTAGGAGCGGCAACGCCGCAGGGCTGAAAATATTTTAGAACGATGTCCCTCCCCCTCGAGAATGCAGTTGACGTGTTTCAGATTTTTTTCATAATCCGGTTTCGACGACCTAGAGCCTCTGTTTCGTTTTCGAAGGCCCACTCTGTATACAGTGGCAAGAACTCTTATCCAACTAAACTGGTCAACATTGATAACGTCGTGGTCCGAAATATAGCCTGAATTCAAAGTAGAATAACTCACAAATTTCCTTACCAATTTGAAATCGGTTTTTATCGATGATTAGCCTAATCTCTTGACAGTTTGTGGCAATATCATCGGTGAAAACCGATTTCAAATTGGTAGGGGAATTCGTGAGTTATTCTACTTTGAATTCAGGCTATATTTCGGACCACGACGTTATCAATGTTGACCAGTTTATTACCATCCAGTGAATCTACCTGAACTCACCTCCTCGTGACATCCAACGGATAACTGACGCTTTGAGCCCCCGCCCCCGCAAGCCCGCCGCAGATCAGCTTCGCAGGCACGCTCAGCACCAGCCCGCCCGTGTTCTTCTCGCACGGCCTCGTCGTCCAATCGGGCAGGTACTTCATGCAGCCGTACTTGAGGTACTCGAAGCAGAAGAAGGAGAGGCCGGCGTAGGGCACCATGCCGGCGAGGGTGGGCGTGAAACCGCGGTAGAGGGCGCGCCAGCCGCCCTCCTCGCGGAAGATCGTCGTTGCCGCGTGCGCGATGCCCGTGTACACGTGCTCGCCGGTTACCTGTGATATACGTTAGAGTTCCTTAATTTACTTGACAATTATCTTGACGTTTTTGTATATTTAGAGTACGGACACTCGATAAGCAGTGAGAGTAAGACATAACCACAAATGATTTTGAAGCATGAAGATATGTTTTGCCAAACAAGAATGAGCATTATGTTCTTCGCTTAGATGAAGGCTTCTCCTGTCCTCCTCCTGTTCAGGGCATATATCTTTCTATGTCTTTCATTGTTTAATGAATTGGAGTGAATGGCGTTTCCGCGAGTAGGAAAGAGGGCATGATAAATGTCACCCAACATAACTACCAAAACATGATAGGTGGCGATTTCAGACTCTTTGGTGAATGTTTCATAGCCAAGAAGTAAAGAAGATGGTTCACAATTTTGTTTTCCAGGTGTATTAGTCGTTTCCTCCAAATAAAGACAACAGTCTCATTCGCACGGATAATGAAAATTTTCTATTCAGAGTTCGCAGTAATGGTAATGATTCGTATTGAAATTTCAATAGAGTATAACCAGATGAGCCACAGTAGTATATTGTTTAACGAGCACGGAAAATTGTTCACAGTTTCACCTATCGGTTTACTATTTAAAGACATATACGAATACTCTTATGAATATGCAGGGGTGATAAAAGTTGATTCAATGTTCTTTTGGTGAAATGCTATTTTTGTTAATCAACGTTGGCTATTTTGATTAAGTCATTAATTATTGCCAAAGTCCAGCGATTCACAATTCAAAATTCATAAATTTGATTAATGAAAATTCAACATGGGAGATTTGACTCCTACTGATGTGGCGAGGGCTGTAGCATTAATTGAAAATGGTAGATCGTACACTGATGTTGCTGACATGCTGGAAAAATCAAAAACTACGATTTATCGGAATGTGAGACGTTGGAGACAAACAGGAGAGTACGTGAGGAGACGAGGCCAAGGAAGAAAACGGTCAACCACGGCTAGAGATGACCGATTTTTAGTCTCTCAAACACTACCAAACAGACGTACAACCGTACCCCAATCGAGAAACGAACTGGAAGAAGTACGTGGAAGACGAATAAGTCCTCGAATATCAGCAGAAGGCTTAAAGAAGTTGGTCTGAGGGCCTATAGAACGAAGAAAGCTCCACAACTCCAGCGACGTAATCTGTGGCAAGACTCAGCTTCGCTAGGCAGCATGTAAATTGGGAAAATGACCAGTAGGCCAACGTTCTTTTTACAGATGAGAGCCGCTTCTGCATCAATTCCATAGATGACAGGGAAAGACTATATCGCCACCGAGGTGAACAAAATGAACAATTTAATTTTACTGCTACTGTCTCCTATGGCGGAGGTTCAGTCATGGTTTGGGGTGGAATATGTTTAGGGGCACGAACCTAGTTGGTAGTGGTGAATGGCGCTTCAAATGCAGATGGCTATATACGAGATGTTCTTCAACAGCATGTCATACCATTCGCCCCTCGGAGAAAACTTCTTGTTAGTGCACGATAATGCCCGCCCTCACGTGGCTCGTTCAGTCTCCAACTTTTTAAATACAGTCGGAATAAGAGCAATGGATTGGCCTGCATGTTCGCCAGACCTTAATCCAAGCGAACATGCATTGGACATGTTGGGTAGACGTGGTTCACTTCACAGGATGTCTTAAAAAATACCGAAAAATGCGTACTTTCTCTAAACCCCTGTGTATGATATAAAGACGAATCATTTGAAGGTGGTTATTTCTCAGATGTATCCGTGGAGAATGAAGCCACAATTCGTGAAAAAAATTTCAAATCGAGCGATCGGTTCGAGAGAAAATTGATGTCAAACTTACTGTAAATTTTGCCCGTTCCCCTAATTGTGCCAGTGTGTGTATAATGGCCCATTTAATATAAAATATTTGGAAACGGCCTTCTCGATATCTATTAACAATATCACACTCATATCTCGAGATGTTTTTCAAAATGGATCTCTAATTGCTACACAAAATAATATTATTTCATTTAGAATCTGTTCCCTGATACCGATGATTGTTTTAAACCGTTTCCATTATCAACTGTAGACTCTGTTAAGACACATTATTCGTTTCTCATTGACCATTAAATAAGATAAAAACAGTTTTTTACAATAATTTGTGTTTACCGAGTTCTGCAGAATAATTTCAAGAAATGCATGACTAGAATAAATTCATGATTTTCTATCCAATTGCAAATCAAGAAGAAATTCCAAAAACATTAGCATACTAATCAGTACCTTGAATGAATTATTATTCATGAATAACGAAATTAGAAATCTGTAAATTTCTCAATAATTATTGCATTTTTTCTTCGACTCGAACTCCTGTTTTTAGATCAGAGAGAAGCAACAATTACCATAACCAGATAAATCAACATAAACAATTTCCATAAAGCATACTTCTGGTTATCAAGTTCAAGATCAGGTTCAAGTTGTTTTTTTCATTCCTTTCAAAACCTCGACCTTCAGCATGTGATTAAATTCTAAGGAATATAATTCAAATACATTCTGAATTGGCTTCATCATCTATTTAATACGTCAATATTTTGAAACAAACAGAAAATGTGTTTTAGTTTAAATGTATCTGTCTGCGCGAAATGAGCAAATCAGTTTTGAATTGTTTACAGGGGTTGAGCATTCTGAATTAGTCAAAGTGATAACAGAATAGACAACAATTCATCTTGTTCATTTCAATATTTTACATTGATCCATTACCTTTGGTCTTTCGAGTAATGACCCAAATTTAAAAGTTTCAATGAAGAACAAATTTTTTTTTTAAGTATGAACAGGGTGTCCCAAAATAAGTTTCATATATTGCGTATAATGTATCACAAAATACCTACTTGAAAAATAGTTCATGCAGATCAATACAAAATTGAGGTTTTACAGAGATGGTAATTTCAAGACAGACACTTTGATATTGTGGATATTTGGGAATTGTATTTGACTTTGAAGCTTCCCCAAAAAACGATATGGAGAATCCAAGGTCATCCAGACAAAACGTAGGGTGTCCCTGAAAGGGTGAAAGGTCTGTACAGGCTATCAGATTCTCGATGTTCTTACGGGATATCTCACTTATTTTTGGTTTTCGCGAACGTTAGCTACTTTTTTGTGAAACTCACGATACCGGAAACAAATTTTTCGTAGACTATTTCGTTTTCGAGATACCGGGCGAAATCGAAAATACTGCATTTAGAGACCCCCTGTTTCTACGCTATCTTTCAACTTATAGGAATAGTAAAAACTGTCACTTAAACAGTTTTTTACGTGAAATCCAGTAATGTAATCAGATTTTCAAAATAAGCTGTTATTATTTATATATCACCCAAAGTTATGATTTTAAAAGAAACACCCTGTATATTTTTTCATGTTTGCTTTCCAAAAATAAATAACATTTATACGATATTTTGAGTATTAGCCTTGAATTTAGATAATTCAACATTTTTTACTATATTTCTTATGGATCAGCCATGTAAATGTGTAGCAATATCTTTAATAATATATCATGAATTTTCATATTGATCCTGTTGCTGAAAAAGTGTTTCGTCACATACACTAGTTTGAATTTTTCCAACATTCATTATTCACCAATATTCAGCACTATTTTTGACTATAACCGAATTAAAAAAAAGCGAGTGTCACCTGTTTACAATTTTCCATCCAATGGCGAATTATAATCCAGGATATCAAAACTAAAATTTAGAAACCAACTTATATCCCAACCATAACAGGTAGTCAGTCAGTCAGTGACAACAATTATAAAAACAATTATAAAAACAATTATAAAACATTCTGCACTCGCTTTTTTTCATTGCCACATACTAGTTATAGGTCCAAAGCTTAAATAATGAATGTTGGTAAAACTTGACCAGTGTGTCACGAAACACTCTGTCAACAACAAGGTGAATATTTAAATTCATGATATTAAAATATTAAAAATATTGCCACACTCTTACAAGGCGGATCAATAAGAAATATACTAAAAAATTGTAAATTATCTAAATTCAAGGCTGATAATCAAAGTATCGAATACGTGTTATATATTTTTGGAAAGCGCAAAGCATCAATGTTTCAAATATGAAAAAATATACAGGATGTTCCATTTAAAAAAAAACATAACTTTGGGTGATTTCTAAAGAATAACACCTTATTTTGAAAGTCTGACTACGCCACTGGATTTCACGTGGAAAACTGTATAAGTGACAGTATTTACTTTTTCTATAAGTTGAAAGATAGCTGAGATACAGGGGGTGTCCCAAAATGCAACATTTTCGATTTCGCCTTATATCTCAAAAACGAAGTGGGCTATGAAAATGTTGCTTGCGGGACAGCCGGTACAGAATCTCAGCCCATATTTCTGAGGTCAAAATGAGCTGATTCGAAGCAACAGAGATACAGGGTGGTAAAGTTGAATAATAAAAATCAAATTTCTCAGAATCTATGAACATTTTCAACCGTATACTTCAGAAATTGGTATCCAAGGGTTTTTTGGGATGAGCAACACGAATACGGACACCTTTTGACTGTGGTCATGAGACGGCGCTTACCAATGAAATTCTTATGGCTTAGAATAGCCATAACTTTTTTCTCAGAGTAGTTTTTTACTTGAATTGTTGAGGAAATTATTTTCTGAACATTTTCAAGCAAAAAAGAAAATTCGCTAGTGATTTCGAGATATTTCGATTTTTAATGCGATGCAGAACCGGAATATTCAACCTATATTGAATAAAAAATGTTTGCTGTTATCTTCGTGGATATAATTTGGTCAATGAATTAGCAGTGCAAAAATGGATTTTTCAAAATAATTTCTTGGAGTGTACTTGTCGATTTTTATTTTTTATCTTCACCACCCTCTATCTCGGAAACGTAGCAATTTCGGGCTGAGGTCAGTTGCTTCAAATCGTCTTATTTTTCAGGAATATGTACTGAGATTTTGTACAGACCTTTTAGGGACACCCTGTATAACTTTGTAGAGGAGGAAGAGTGGCAATGATTAAATGACAATCATAAATACTTTACTGTTGCTTTAATTATATTGCACCTACGCTGATAAATATGTATGAAAATTTGTTCAGTGGTACTATAAATATGAACTGCATATACTATCAATGAACCAATAATATGCACTGTATAATTATAGATTTGTCTCCAACTTGTTATTTTAATTTCAATTTTGATTGTTAATCTTATTATTTATTTTGTCTTCAACTTGTTATTTTCATTTCAATTGTTTATCTTATTATTCTTTACCATGTATTTTCATTATTTTCTTGTAATGCTCACTTTATGTAGGTGAAGTAATTGTTTGAATCCTTGTAATTTGTATCACCCAAGGCAAATATGCCAACTATTTGCCTTTTGAAGTACAATGATATTTAAGCACATCTATTTTTGTTATTTCGTACTCCAATAAACATTATTATTATTATTATTTTGGAATATCTCTTTAAGGTGATCTTCAGATATTGATATCCCAAAAGTATTTATAATTCTCCAAACTTCGTAGCGACATTTTCCTAAGTAAGAAATAGGGCAACTATGGCCCAGCCACATTATAATCCATACCATTACAGATATCCATACACATACCCACGTATTTGTTATTGAACATTTGAATACGTTGATGGCTGGCTTTCAAATCGACCTCGATTTTTTTCATGATATATTGTTATATTTAAGGCTTATTAGGAATATTGAAACATTAATGTAGTATAAGAAGTACATTTTAATGAGTAGATATCTGCATTCATCATCCACCGTGACGTGCACCTAATAATTGATTTTTTTTCCTGCAACTAATAATGAATTCCATTGGCAGGACCTGGTGAAGTGTTTCTCCAATGAGTGTATATTTACCTCTGTTTAGCACATGCGAGTAAAAAGGAAACATACATTGAGTGCAGAAACACTCCACCAGTTACTGCCAATGGAATTCGCTTTATGACACAAAACCGTTCTTTCTTAACTACTTTTGCAAAAATAATGAGGTGCATTGTTATGTCTTCAATAGGCCTGTATCTGCGAAAAATTTTATTTCATTAATTTGAAGTACTAACTACAAACTACTTCAGTGTCGTAAACCTTTTTCTCCTCAGAGCTGTGTACAGGGCTAGTTTTAAATGTGAACCCCTCATTATCTGTTCCACCCATCCAAAAAATTTCAAAACCGATTTTGTACAATTATTTTTCATACAGGTTCCTATCATAGTGACAATATTGCAATATCTCTCCAAATATACAGGTTATACAGAAATATACAGGGTGGGCCACCAGTAACGCCTCGGTCTCTAGAAGGCTAACCACTCATCTTCTTGGAATTCTTCCTCTCTAGGAAGTTGCATGTCAACATAGGCTGCCATTTGAAATTATTTTGAAACATACAGGATGTCCCCAAAAATCACAAAACACTGAAGTTGAACTTTTTTCAATCGAACACCCTATATATTATTTCATTTTTAGATTCTCCCTGATGAGCTGATTTCAACAATTCATCATACTTGGGCTCTAGCAGTTATAATTACTGAGATATAGGGTGTGAGAAATCGAGATTTTCCAAGTTCAAGAATTTTTTGTGTCTAAACCATTCATAATTGGTCAAAACGGCTCACGTGTCCCTATCTCAATTTTTGATCAACTATCTACTGACATTTAATTGAAACAAATACAGGGTGGTGCAGAATTCAGAATCTTGATCACCCGGTATATGTCCCAATTAAATATCAGTAGATAGTTAATCAGAAGTTGAGATAGGGACATGTAAGCCGTTTTGACCAATTATGAATAGTTTCGACACAAAAAATTCTTGAACTTGGAGAATCTCGATTTTTCACACCCTATATTTCAGTAATTATAACTGCTAGACCCCAAGTATGATGGGTCGTTGAAATCAGCTCATCAGGGAAAATCTCAAAATGAAATAATATATAGGGTGTTCGATAGAAAAAAGTTCAACTTCCAGTGTTTTATGGTTTTTGGGGACACCCTGTATGTTTCGAAATAATTTTAAATGGTAGCCTATGTTGACATGCAACTTCCTAGAGAGGAAGAATTCCAAGAAGATAAGTGGTTAGCCTTCTAGAGACCGAGGCGTTACTGGTGGCCCACCCTGTATATATTATATGGAATGCGCTGAATATTTTAATAGATATGAATCCCTCATATCATTTATTTTCAATCAGAATGAATTGAGGAATTCAAATCTTTCAAAATATACGGAGCTTTCAATTTGAAAAAAATATATTTCTCTGTATACTCTGTATATTTGAAGAGATATTTTATTATAGTCAATATGAGTGAAATCTGTTTGAAGAATTGTATAATTTCTGCTTAAAATTTTGTTGAATGAGTATAAAACAAAAAAGATGAAGGGAGGTTCACTTAATAAAACTAGAATTTTTATGAAATAATTATTGAAATTCACGATAATTCATGACGACATATCCCGCGATCAACCCAATGCAACTTATATTTGATACAACTTATGTATTGTGTGTATCTCATTACACTAACGTGGAAGCGAATTCTTATTTCTATGTGAAATGTGGAAACATTTTCATTGGTTGTTGTGAAATATGAGAGTATTGGTGCTTATCACGTCATCGAGAGCCAGCGTTTTTCAGAGGTGAAATTTTATTTTCATTTATGAGGAAAAAACTGTGCTTTTGTGAACTACTGAATAAATTTTTAGCCAAACTACCGGAGGAATCTCCTGGAACAGATCGATTTATAATCTCAATTTGCCACATTTGAAAAGGGAGATTAAATATACAGAGTGATCCACGTTTGAATATTAACGTTAGCGACAAGTTTTTCGAATGGAACACCCTATATATTATTCAATATTTGAATTCTTCATAGAAAGCTGAATTGAAATTGTATCATTCATTGGGTCTGTATATAATGCGTCCGTTAAATTCAGTACTCTTTTCAGTAAAGTTGTGGATAAATTCTTGCAAATTCAACTCTTCGACTTTCTTTCCAAAAATTATTCCTTTAAATCATGTTGTTATTATTTATTATTATTATATGTTGAAGTCATAGAAGAAGTATAGTATAAATAAACTCGAACAGAATGCTAATTAAACAATATACTATTTTCTACGGCTATATCACAAAATTGCTTGTATCTCATCAATTTTATTTCCGTATCTGATATCACTATGACTTTATAGAGTTTTAATAAATATGTTTATTTGATCTCTATTACAAATTATCAAAATGACATTCATTATTTATCTGACATTAATAATCAAAATATCAAAACACAGGGTAATCACAATTCCTCACACTACTCAAGCAATGACAGCTCTGTCTAATAGATGAGCATTATTTGACATGAAATCAGATGGCTACAAGCCGAAGAAATCGAAAATGCCGCTGTTATCTGTTACAGCCTTCAACTTCATTCTCGTAGGAAATCACTATCGTTCCGTGCTCGTTAAACAATATACTATTTTCTATGGCTATAACACAAGATTGTTCTTGTTTTACTGTGTTCGATACATCAATGAGGTACTTTGTACGTCATCAATTTTATTTCCGTATCTGATATCACAATGACTCCATTGTGTTATTATTTCAAAAAAAAACTCATCGCCCATGGAATGTCAAATTTCAAGCAATGACAGCACAGCTCTGTCTTATAGATGAGCATTACTTGACTCAGATGGTTACAAGACGAAGAAATCGAAAATGCCGCTGTTATCTGTTACAGCCTTCAACCTCAATCTCGTAGGAAATCACTATCGTTCCGTGTTCGTTAAACAATATACTATTTTCAATGGCTATAACACAAGATTGCTCTTGTTTTACTGTGTTCGATACATCAATAAGGTACTTTGTACGTCATTAATTTTATTTCCGTATCTGAATGGAAGAGCAAGTTCTGATTACGTCACTCTCACTGGTGAAATGATCTGAACTTGAATTCTGCCGTTTGATAGGTATACAGTTCTCAGCTCTCTATCATTTTTCATTTATTTTGTTTTTACCTATACCTGTCAATAAAATCCATTATTATTATTATTATTATTATTATTATTATTATTATTATTATTATTATTATTATTATTATGATATCACAATGACTCCATTGTGTTATTATTTCAAAAAAAACTCATCGCCCATGGAATGTCAAATTTCAAGCAATGACAGCACAGCTCTGTCTAATAGATGAGCATTACTTGACAGGAAATCAGATGGCTACAAGACGAAGAAATCGAGAATGCCGCTGCTATCTATTATAGCCGTAGAAAAATTATAGTGTATTTCTTGCACGGAATTCTAATTTCCTATTCGAATGATTGCAGCATTCGCCTATGGCTCATGCTGCAAACTTCATTCTCGTAGGAAATCACTATCATTCCGTGCTCGTTAAACAATATACTATTTGTTTACTTACTTGGAAAGCTAGTCTAGCTCTTATTGTATCTAATGGGTAGGTGAGAGCCACAGAGGTCAGTCCAGCTCCCGCACCCGCTATAAACTTATCAATATGTGAAGTTTCTCCGAAAACTCCATCGAGATACCTTTTGTATATCTCGAAGGAAGTGAATTGTGTAGCTGCATACGGAAAAATTCTCACCATTTGTGCACCATTTCCTATGGAGGAAAGAACACATCACATACTTTTTTTTTTTTTACATTCCTCCAGAATCCTAAATATAATTATCTAAAAACTCAAGTCCTAGAATTTACTTGGCAACCCCAAGAAATATTTGATAAATTGATGATGTCAAGGAAGAAATTGAAAAGACGTTTCATTTAGAATCCTGTGTATCGTTTTTTTGTATTCCAATACCGGGTGTAAACGAGTCCATTAGACAAGCCATAACTTCTGAAATATTCGGTGTTTCAAAATAATATTTAATATGTGTATATGGTATGTGAAGAGGAAAGTTTTCGCATACTTTGTACTTCCCGGTTGATGAGAAGCTACCATGCGTCCAGAGATCGCCTTGTGATGCTATGCTACTAGGGAGCCAGGACAACGGAGATATTAATAAGAAATTCAACTGTTATTAAAGATCAAATAATTCAATTTACCTATGGCCACTATAGAAAGTAGGCAAGAACAGACGAAATATAGCCTCAGTAAGTAGCTCTTTACGCACAGTAAGCACATCGCACAGTTTTCGTTTATTCCGCCAGTATTCACTATAGAAAATAACACGTCGCCCTACCTACCTTTAGTTGGATGTGACCAATAAGCAGAAACAAAAAACAAATGTGAACCAATGAAAACAAAGTAAACAGGCCGCTTTGACAGCTTCCAAATACTCCGATAGATGGCGTACGCTTACTTTCTATCGCGAATAGGTATGTCATGATCAAGGTGTTATGATCGCGTAATCGCCGTCAACAGCGGATGACATAACTGTCAAGAATTATAATTCAGACTGTTTGTCAAAACTTCTTTGATGTACTATATGGCAGTAGGTAAAGTATATTCAATACGTAATATACTATTACTACCTAGGTTTATATCAATTTTTTCCACCACTAGCAATACAGGGTGTTCCTTAAAGACATGCTAATATTTAAGGGGATGATTCTTTGACTCATTTTGATATAAAAACTTTCCATCAACGTATGTCTTAAACGTCTTAACTTTTGAGATACAGGGCAATAAAGTTTTGAAAAAAAAACAGTTTTTTAGTAATAACTAGGATAATATTGTAGACATCTTTACCAAATTTGGTGCATGTCTTCTATGCATCAAGGTGCATTTTCTGATGTACACAAATTTTCGTTTTCTCTACCAGTGGGCGCCGTTTGGGGGCTATTTTTGTTTATATTTTACTTAAAAGTGAGCAACGAAGGAAAATTTCCAAATTTCATACAATCCCATGAGAGGCCATTCAATTCTGTACAAAAAAGATCTTCCTGTTGATACTTGATAGAACGCTCCGTTTTCGAGAAAAAAACGGAAAAACGAGACCAGACATCGTAAATGCTAAGCTGAATACTCCATTCAGGAAATCAATAATTATTACTGGATAACCACAGCATGTTGTAACATTTTGAAGTTTTTGCACCGTTTTAGTCACATAGCAGACTGAACTTTTTCATCACAAAACTATACATGGTGGACAAAAAAATAATCTATGCATATTTTCAACTGTGATACCCTGTATCACAAAGGTTAGGACGTTTACGACATACATTCATGTGAAGTTTTATTCTTGAAATGGGTCCAAGAATCGCCCCCTTGAATATTAGCATGTCATTAAGGAACATCCTGTATATTCCAATCATTTCAGTTCAGTGAAACCGAACTATGGCCCTATTGTTACTATGAAAGCACTTATTCTCAATTCAGAGGTGGCTATGTCTTTATTGACTAGTGGTTCATAAAATGACGAAAACTACCTTGGTAGAAAAAAAAAACACTTTACGCCTCGAAAAGGAGTAAATAATGGTATGCTTCATAGCTAGTGGTGGAAAAAATGTGATATACACCTTGGTAGTAAAGAATAGGGACCGAGCACAAGGCACCCCTCTGCTGAAGCCTCAAGATATAATCTTGGTCCCTGGGTAATACTGATATTCTATACTACCTTGATGTATAAATAACTATTTTCAGTTCATTTGATCCATGAACTCTCACGATTTCAATATTTTTATGGAACTCAAAAGTAAGGGCGACCTTGCTCTTGTTGTTATCTGATATACAGAGTACAAAATCTTGTGACATAGTTTAATACTCTTTTTGATTATCGAAAAATATATTTACAAATATACCTCTAGATATAATCCGGTTTTGAATGAATTTTGACCCCTAACCCTGACCCAAGATGTGAAACTTTTAGGTTTAGATTATTTCCATATTATATACAGTATGACTAATAAAAGAGGCTGACTCAAAATTACTCTGGAATCACTATAATCCTGTATGTTATTTTCAAGGGTCAATCTCTACCACATAAATATTATTGCCAACTTTTATCACCTGTAACTAAATGTCAACATCCTTAATAATTAGAACAATGTATTCCATTTCATTATTGCTTTCTCCATCATATTCTTGAAACATTATATGTATGAATCAATTGAAAATTTTAACACCCAATTTTGGTATAGGGGGTGATAAAGTTACCATAACATTTCATGGAGAATCCAAAAATGAAACGAAATATTATTTGAATTGTATGTAATTTTCTTCTACTCATAGTATAATATAAAGAGATCGGAAGCCGGCAGTGTCATAACAATATATTATTCAACAACCATATATTGGGGGCTATTATATGTGAGTAAAATTCTATCTTGAATAGTATACTTTGTCCACGACTACCATTGTCTTTGATATATAAATTTATTTTTAATAACTGTTTTATGATTATCACGTTATTTTCATTCTTGCATTGTAAATATTTTTAATTTGTGGTAATTGGAACAAATACAGGGTCACAGAATTCTGAATTTTGAACAACCCTGTATCTGTTCCGATTAAATGTCAGTAGATAATAAAACAGAAGTTGAGATAGGGACATGTAAGCCATTTTGACCAATAATGAATAATTTCGGCACAAAAAATCCTAAATTTGAAAAATCTCGATTTTGAACACCCTATATCTCTGTTATCATTTCTGCTAGACCCCGCTAGTGTGATAAATCGATGGAATCAGCTCTTTAGGAAGAATCTAAAAATGCAAGGATTTGAAAAATAGCAAATTTGATACATTTCGTGTTTTTTTGGCACACCCTGTACAACATGAAAATATTTTCAAAATGTAGCGCTGATAGGTCCATATTCATCCGAGAAAAAAACTGTCAAAAACCCAAATGCTTTGTGTAGAATAACGTGAATAACCCTGTATAATAGAATATAGCTTAGGTCGTCCTATGAGTTATTTCATTAATGACGTACCATGACGTCACTTTTACTTTTCCTCCCGAGGAAGGAAAAGTTAGGGAGGAATAGTTACAAAAAATACACTATTTTTATCTGTGACAGAAAACGATTCAATATTGAGACGATATTACATTATATTAAGATCAGAAAATTATCAATGTGAAATTTGAAGTTTCTAACTGGTAGTACACCTGTGTTTGCAGGCATCTTTTTGTAGGCATCTTTATTGTTGCTATGGAAACCTTTTGATATAATGGAATCACAAAGGAATATGTGTCAATTTAATTCTGTCTTAATTTCAAAAAAAATTCTGACCAGTGGTTGTTTAGTAATTTACATAACCGCGAAGTGGAATGGAAGATAAAAGGACTTTCAGTTCTTTCTTGGAGACGGTGTTATTGGCTTATTTTTCGGAACTGGCACAACAAAAGCCATCAACAGTGCACCTGTATATCCGGGAAAAAAGTACTCACTCTTTTTCCATGGGAAAAATAGTTATTTATTATACAAGGAAGAACAGTAGTAAATTTTAGCTCCAGGTTGTGTTGTTTTCCCGTGTATAATACACTATTTTCTTCTGTGACAGAAGAAAAGACGAATCAATATTGAGAAGATATTACATTATTTTGAAATCTGAAAATTATCGACGTGAAATTTTAAGTTTTTAACAGTAAGGACACCTGCGTTGTAGGCATCTTCAGCATTCTTTTGAAGTAATCAAATATCTGATGTCACTTCCGTCGAGCTAATTCTGTGATTTGATTTGAAAAAATTGCGAATTTAGTGGTTGTTTAGTTATATACGTACCGCGAAGTCGAATGGAAGATAAAAGGACTTGCAGTTCTTTCTGAGAGGCGGTATTATTGACTCATTTTTCGGAACTATAGCACAACAAAAGCCATCAACAGTGTATATACAGTGTTGCGCAAAAGTATGGAACCAGGTGAATATCTCGGTAAACGTTTGCTAGATTTTTTTGAATATATGTACAGGGTGATTTCAAAACGTGGTGGATTTGAAAATGTTATCGTCGATGTTGCCACTTTTTCAGTTATTCCGAAACTATTATCAACTTCCTTATTTTAAATAGAACACCCTTTTATTGAATTCACAGATTCCTCCTGAAGAGCTGATTTCATCGATTCATCACATGGGGAAGATTGGGATCAATGTACATTTATGTACATTGAAACTAACTATAGTCCTTTTCAGTCTCAGTAATTAATATATTTATGATGTTATGTTAAAAATGAAATGCATATTACTGTAGTTTATTGCTGTATATTATTGCTGAATCACTGAATAAATGACTAAATAAATAAATAAATGAATCACACTTGGGGTCTAGCAAAAATGATTACTGAGATAAAGGGTGTTCAAAATCCAGATTTTTCAACTTCAGGACTTTTTTGTGTCGAAACTTTTCATCATTGGTCAAAACGGCTTACATGTCCCTACGTCAACTTCTGATTCACTATTTACCGACATTTAATTGAAACAAATACAGGGTGGTTCAAGATTCAGAAATCTGACCACCCTGTATCTGTTCCCATTGAATATCAATAGATAGTAGATCCAAAGTTAATGAATAGTTTCCACACAAAAAAATCCTAAAGTTGAAAAATTCCGACTATGAACACCCTATATCCCAGTTATCATCCTTGCTAGACCCCAAGTGTGATGAATCCATGAAATCAGCTTTTCAGGAAGAATATAAAAATTCAATAAAATACAGGGTGTTCTATCTAAAATAAGGAAGTTGATAATAATTCCAGAATAACTGAAAAAGTGGCAACATCGACGATAACATTTTCAAATCCACTACGTTTTGAAATCACCCTGTACATATATTCAAAAAAATTTAACAAACGGTTACCAAGATATTCACCTTGTTCCATACTTTTGCCCAACCCTGTATATATGTGATATACATCCGGGAAAAAAGTACTCAATTTTTTCCCATGGGAAAAAAGTAATTTATGAAAAGTGACATTTTATAACCTGCCAACAGAGATGAAATGCCAAACTTTTTTCGCGTTACAGAAAAAAGTAATTTATGAGAAGTGACATTTTGTAACCTATCAACAGAGATAAAATGTCTAACTTTTTTTTCCTCTTAGAAAAAGTACTTTGCTCCCTATACAATGAGGCCAGGAATAGTATACTTTGGATAGGAGTAGGTGAAAAATATATTTTATCAACTTAAATTCATGCAGGAAAATTCAATCTGGTGGCTTTTCCCTTTAGTTAAGTTGAGCGGGAAAATTATTTCAATTTCATCAACTTTGGAGAGATATATCTCCCTTAATATACTTTTTGGGCCATTAGTTCATTTATCAAACTAAACTTATTTTTCAATGAACACATTTTTGACTCACCCTGTAGAACTTCTGATTTTAAAAAGAAACCCTTTGTATTACTTGTAGAACCTATTATTACAGGTAAGTAAAGACATAGATGACAGGGTTAGTTTTATGGTTTTAATAAGGTTTAACACCTATTTCCAATTCCAATTTTAAAATCATTTCAGTTTTCATTCAGCTTTTACATTGATGAAATTAATTTAGATAGATGTAGAAATGAAATAGAATTTCTTGATTTTTGTTCTAGTTTTCAAACAGAACAACATAAGACCAATCAGACATTTTTGACTAACCAACAATATCATATTAGTTTTCAATTAGGGATTATTTGAATGTAGTGATATATTAATTTTTTCTGGCATTTGAATAAATAAGCAATATTCAATCTTTCAAAATATACATTAGAGCTGTTCCATTTTGAAAAACATTTTTCCAATATATCCTGTATAATTATTATAGTGTGATGAAAAACCATGAACAAATTTGATATATACAGGAACATATTTTGAAACCATTGAAAATAAAATATGAAGAATTGGGGGGTTCACATCATCAAACTAAGCCTCCCTGTACTTCATGAAGACCAACCCCTCACCAATACTATTAACTAAAGAACTTTACCTTTGTATAAAGCAAATGGACCTTCATTTTTAAATATATGCTTGAGGCCAGAGAATACTCCATGAGATGCATGATGCTTGTTGTGAGCCTGAAGAAGTATTTTCACTCTATCCAGAGGTGCAACAGATGTTTTTGATACCATGCCTGCTGTACCTAAAAAATCACAAATTTTATAAAAACTCAGGTTTTCTCCTGGTATAAAACATTTCTTTTCAAACTGATTTAACTGATGAACACTTGCTAAATTCAAAAAATATTATAACTGACTTTGTACTCACCTCCACATAGCAGGTTCTTACAGACCATTTCGATATTAAGATCATTTGCTGTTTTCAAACTCATTTTCACTAATGTTTAATTGATGTCTTAGATATCACAAAACTTGCATAGAACCATACATTCAACTTCTAGTGGAATTAATGAGACTTTCTTCAGTAGGTGACATCCTTTTCTTTCTGAAAGTTCAAATTACTTCTGTTCATCATCTCAGTTTTTGTAAAGAAAAACAGGTGATGGTAGGCAATCACAGCAATGATTATATATTTGCTTTTCTCATACCATTTTGAACAGAAGAAATGATATAGAAACAATAACATAATACCATAATACATACAGAAGCACTTGTGAGCGTTCTGGTGACCTGTGCTCATCACTGATTACTGGAATGGGAACACTTTCACTCAATAATATGTACACCATCAGTATGTTGAATGACCATGACATTGTGCTTGCTTACCCACTGGCACATTTTGCCACACTACAGACAGAGTAGTGTAGATCCTTGTAGAGATAATATTCTCAAACTGTACATGGTACCCGATGTTTGCAGCAAAATAATTATGTGTTCATTATTTTTTTGTGCCAACAATGAATTGTATAACTTATTAATTTTTAGAAGATACTTACATTAATGGAATAGTATTTTACCTGAGAACTGAGGAAACTGTGTAGACACAATAATCAATAAGCCACATTTTTCAAATTTACATAAAGCATTCAAAGGAAAAAATTATATAGAAATTCAAAAAGGGAATTTTATACAAATTAAATTTTGTATTTTCAAACTGACACCAAAGATTTGACAATATTGACATTGACACTCACGAATGTGACAACCATATATCTACTACTACATATATGGTGACAACTAACCACAGGGTCACAAGTCACAGCAAAAACACAGAGCACTTTCGTGATGACGTCACTAACTTTGAAACCTCAAGGTTATCAGAAGGTTATAAGGCAATATGAGTTAGGAAAATATATTTTCTGCATAAAAAAAGGAAACTTTCTCCAACCTAACTTGCCTAAACGAACCTTTTTCCTGAAAAGTATGTTTTTGCCAAATAACTTGAGTTAAAATTAAAAAACACTTGCCGCCTTGCAGGGTTTGAAATATTGTCGTTCTAGATGACAACCTAGTTAGGTAGTTAGTAGGAAGGAGCTATAATCCTCGCACTAGTGCGCCTATTAGGTTTTCATTCAGATCGACAATGTTTGTTTGAACCCTAGTTACCGCCGTGGAAATCAGATACACAGATCAGTGAGATATCGCTTTAGGCTGTGTCAAGTCTCTGGTTTGACCAGGCACATACTTTCAGTATAATGTCTTACCATCAGTCTGACCAACCAGCTGTTAAGGAATATTGGTCACGTTTCAAACCTGCCCACGAGAGTTACCTGCATGTCAATTTCTAATAGGAATCAAGAGTCAGGAGCCAATTAGGCAATCCAAACCACGTGACATTTTAGCTGACAAGATGGCGTCTGGTTGGCAAACAAAGATTATACATCACTTTTAATTAAATTGTATTTTGCCCGAATCACCCTATTATTCTGGTAGTTTTATGTGTCAGGTGTTTGAGGGAGTCTCGGAGCTGAATTGAACAGTGCTTCAATATGCTGAGTTCATATTTCCAGAAGTTATTGCAGGAAAACCCAGAGGTTGGTCAGAGGTAAACATGAATATTTATTGTTTTTTCGGCTATTTTTCTCAACTAACCAGTAAATTTTCATTCCTGAAACTATCAAACAACCATAATTTGTTTGTAGATATCTGACGAAGCTGATGTTGATCAAGGATTTGAAGCCCTCCACATCTGAAACTGCTGACTGATTAGACTACCTCATAATTATACTCTCCTACTATTTATAGTGACCCACAGTTTCTACCCTCATGAGCAAATGAAAGCATTCAAAACCCTTGTTGTTCACAAGTATTTTTCAGCAACTTTTGTCTAGGAAGTAGACAGGAAGATGAATGATTTTCATGTCATAGATGGAAAGGTAAAGTTTTACTTTTATACCTAAATACCTTTCATGATAGGAACATTTTGAATGATGAAATTATGTTATTCATATATTTTTAGATATATTTCCTACCTCATATTCATGTATATCTTATGCAATTTTTTTAGGTAAAATATTCACAATCAGATTCTGTGCTAATAAGTAACTTGAGGCTTGGGCAAGTAAATAAGGAACAGTTTCATGTACTGATGTATGTGCTTTGTGTTGTGACCCATGCCACCACTCTCACCATGATTGTGCCCATCATAACAATAGCAGAAATGGACATAGGTACAGTTGCTCTGAATGGTTTAATACAAAATCCCTACTATATCTTCAATGTCCAGAGAAACATGTTTTTTGGGAACAACATTCACAAATTGCTTTGAAGTTTCATGCAGAAGTTATAATACCTGGACTTTTGGGTGGATATTAATTTCACCAGAAGTGAACTATTGGTGTAAGTGTTCAAGTGCTGATGATGGAACCCCTATGACTAGTTGTGACAGTGATAAAGGGTTCTATTTTGAATGTGTAGATATTTTAGGTACACCAGAATCAGCATGGTTTTGTGAATTCTGATTCAACAAGTTCTATAAAGAAATATGTACCTATTCATAATAAATATATCATTCAATCATTGTTTATTATTGTTTCAATCAGATCACTGAATAACTATAATGTTCTATGAAGATTTTTTCATGACTGATGTAGATCTTTTGTAGTATAGTGGAATAATACAATGTATTTTTCATTTAATGAATATAACAATTATTTTGATATACTTACTTTATTTGTCTTACATTTATAATTCATAAAAATAAATCACATCAGACTGTAATTTGTAAAAGTACTTATAATCTTGTAGATTTTCACCTTGTTTTCACCAATTTTCTCTTCTATTTCTTTATCTCCCAGGACACTTTCTTCATTACACTAAAATAAATGAAAAATGATGTAGTAGTAGTATTAGGTAATCAGGTGTTTTCTTGAGAACATACCAGGTCTCTCAGTTCTGATGCTTGATTCATGATTTGAACCTTTTGTCTGCTCTCAGTTTTTGATCCATATCAGTGTTGCATTTCAAATGGACAAGAGATTGATGACCCATATTATATTGCAATGGGACCCAAGCTGGATATTCTCATCTTTCAGGCACTATGTTCTCCTACAATAAGGTAGATGATGAATTTATGTATTAGAAACATGATGTTTCCAAACTATGTAGGACCATCAAAAGTAATGAGTATTGGTTTATTTTATCAAAATGAAGAAAAGATAAGTTTTCCATAGGATGAAACACTAAACTCATCAGTTCTAGAGTAGGTAGGTACATATAAATAATATTAAAATCTTTTTTCTTAGGTACCTGTTATGAAAATAGTGTCTGCCACATATCCTCTGGTTTATTATGATTGATTCTGTTGCTGATTCTTTCTCTTGATGGCTGCTATCCACATTTCCCTAATTTTTCTTGATAGATTCTTCATCTGTGGGTAATGCTCAGAGTTTTTCACAGTATTACAGTAGGAATGTGACAAAACAGCAAATGGTCCCGATCTGCACTGCTTCCACAATCCACCACAATTCACGTTACTGGCAATTTTTTCTTTGAAATCATACTGAGTTTTCATTATTCACAATAAATCTAGCCGAAACTCGATAAAATAATACTGTAAGAGGCTTCCAAAACCCACAAAGTTCTCAAGTAAACAAACTTGTCTTTGGTTTATTTGCCAACCAGACGCCATTTTGAAATTATTTGACAGGTCGTTGGATTGCCTAATGACTATTCTGGTATCACCACTGTGGTCGGACGAGCGATTTGACTTTTACTCGAAGTTTCTCGAATAATATTGATATGAAGAAGGAAGAAATATCATGTGTTGTGGGTGACATCACTTGACCTCGATGTTTCAAAGATTCGCTGGTATAGCTAGCTAGACCAATGACGGCTAAATATCAAGTAAGCTGCCGACCTGATCCTTGTGCTTCCTTTTGACGGTCTAGATTAGTCTCAGTCGTTCACTGAACAGCTAAAAATCTGAAGGGGACCCCCCATGCATTAAATAAGTAACAAAACGAACATCAGACTAAGATGCCTAACTTATAAACATCTCACATCAGACAAATATAAGATTTATATAAGAGCGACTACTGCTGGATCTGTAAGCACTCTACTGTGACAACACACTAAATCAATGTCAATGTCACTCGTCATCTATCTTGTTTCTTGTCCTATCCAATCCTGTCGTCTGTCTCACTACTGTCTCAAAAAATTTCAAAATTTTATTTTTTATTTTGATTTACTACCAAAAATACTGGGTCGGGGGACGCCGAACCCATAATAGTTTTTTTTAATACCAAAACTACACCTGTGTGCGTGTTGATTCATGCCTAATTAGAATAGTCTAGAAATTTTCCCAAAATGGCTGGACAACTGCTCAAAACATGCAGATTTGTTGCTTGTAGGATTCTCCCAAATAATAGGTAGGTTAATTTCAAATATTCCAATGAAAATCACACTATGATTTTGGCTACTAATAAAGCTGCAGCAGGTTAACCAATTTGTGACTAAACATCAAAACATCCTCATCCAAATCCACATTCATCATGTGTAGGAGTCTTTTTAAACTTCTCTATAGAAGATGTTCAATTTTTCCATAAGTCCCTACATGATTCAAAATCTTCGATTCAATATTCTATTCTAGTACATTTGGATTAGGTATTTTCTAGCCTAAAATAGTCCTGAAGAACATCCAAAAAGATAACTACCTCATTGTCAAGTTAACTACAATTCAGAATCAATTACTTGAAGCTATTTTTTTAATCTCAGTTATTGTTAACTTGATGGAAATTCATAGTTATTGTAAAATCTACACAAATGAGTGATTTCCTAAAAATCTTACCATTTGTGCAGTTTTTGCAGTTTTTACATTTGAAGCTAATTCTATACCTTGATTACTAGTAAAAATGTTTTGTTGTACTTATTTTGTTTCAGTTGATTTTGTGTCTTTTGATTAGTTACACATACTTAGTTCAAGAGCCAGCTGCAAATTTACCTCCTCTGTTAACAAAATGATATATGTATGTCCCAAAATCATTAAAAACATTGTATTTTATCAAAGGGCACCTGTGCTGATCACTATGCTCAGCAAGATGATTGAAAAATGGCACTTTCCTGTGCAGTAATTTGCACTCAACTTTGTGTTTTGATAACCATATAAGAATTTTGCCATCCCATATCAATTGAATGGTAGATCTCAAAAACCTACCTGTGCCTCCCCTTAATCTGAGTCAAATTCACAGCACAGCGATTTTATTTGCTGCCATTATTCCAGACATACTTCTGTCTGTTGCTGTACCCTGGATTTGACTCAGATTAGGGGGTGGCAAGGTAAGATTTTGAGATCTACCATTCAATTGGTATCTGATGGCTAAATTCTTATCTCTTTATCAAATCCCGGAATTGAGTGCAAATTGCCGCCCACTAAAGTGCAATGTTTCAGTCATTTTGCTTAGTATAGTGATTGACACAGGTGCCATTTGATAAAATACAATGTTTTCACATGTCTTTAGTACATTAGCTTAACCTGTGCCTCTTGCTTCCATTTTACCCAGCATTTTACATGTTACATGGTTTATTGTTTTATGTGAATGTGCTTAAAGTACCTGAAAATGTATTGCATATCTTGTAAATAGACTAAAACCAGACTGAATAGGATGATATAACAAGCATCAATTGAATTGGATCTATGAATGTTTTTACTTTCTCAGCAATGTTATTCTTCTAAGACCATATGGACTCTAGAAATTTCAGCATTATGTTCTTGAAATTTGAATTGAAAATTGTTGAATATAACATATTAGTTGTTCAGGTGATACAGTGAAACAATCCTGATATAAAATTTTATGTATCATTTTGAAGAATTCTGTGGAAACCTTATCATTTGTGAAACATACAATCACATATTTCTTGCAGTTATTCTTTCACAAAATATGGTCCTAGATACACACATGAAATAGATTTGATTAAACCATGGATGGCTTGCTCTTACACATACTATATTTCATAGTCTTAAGTCATTCAGGATACCATTGGTTCTGAATTGAATTTGATGCTTCAACCAACACAATTTTAGCTACCACCTACCAGGCGAGATTGTTGGTCAGAGAATTTTTATCATTTCAATGAAAAAATAAGTTCCCTACAATTAATTTGCAATTCAGATTTGATTAATGCATTTTATATTTTATACAATTGCAAAAACCTTTATCCTGAATAAGATGGATAAGATAAAATGTTTGATTTGTTCAGACGACCAGCATGGTATTGTAGAAATTTACTAAATCATTTGAAGTGTGTCCAGTTTTCTATGCTTTTGTGTCTTTGGAGATAAAACCTTGCGGTTTTCGCGATCCTTTGTCACATTTTTGTGAAACTCAAGATGGCGTCATCAGATTTTGTATAACTGTTTCAATTTATGAGATACAGGGCGATTTTGAAAGTGTATACTTTATGAACCCCCTCTATATATTTTTTTTCGGGTTAGTGGAGATACGACTCAATTTTTCCTTCAAAATGATATATTATAATGTATTAATATAAACTTTTCAAAAATGCTCCAAAATCAACAAATAACAAAACACAAAACTTGGGAACCTGATAGCAACAAATAAATAGTAATAAAAAGTTCATAATGTAGAATAAGCACCTGATTCGGATATTTTCTAAAAAATTGAATTCCGAAGTCATTCAATAATTTATTCATTGAATTGTTCAAATTGATTCCCATTTTCCCTAACACACAATTGACACACTTTCACAATATGACCTAATACAGTAAGGGGCACAACAATCTTGAAGAACTTTGTGCAACAACAGAGGCAGTTTTCCAGGAATTACAAAGACATCCTTCAATGATATTGAATGCATTATGTCGTATTGAGAAAAAGTTTGAGGAAAAATGGACATCAATTCGAAGAATTCAATGAATAAGTTACTGAATAATTTGTAAATTCAATTGTGTTAGTAAATATTCAATCAGGTGCTTATTCTAGATTATGAACATTGTATTCCTATTTATTTGTTGCTATCAGGTACCCAAGTTTTGTCTTTTGTAAGTTAATCAGTTTTGGTATTGTTTTTGTCCTCTTCATAGAAAAATTGAAAGAAATATTCTTTCAATTGGAACTATTTTTACTTGAAAACTCCATAGCCCACTACTAAAATTCAATGTTTTAGTGACTTTAGAGCATTTTTGAAAATTTTATATCTATACATTGTATATCATTTCTAAAATCATAAGTTAAGGTCGTATCTCCAACACCATACCCCGAAAAAAAAAAATTGGATGCTCCACTGGATTCTGCGTCAAATTATCTATGGGATAAGTAAGATTTTAATTTGACATTTTAGCTCAGAAACTTCGTAGATATAGAGGTGGTTCAAGAAGTATAAATTTTCAAAATAGTCCTGTATCTCATAAACAGGAACAGTCATGCAAAATCTGATTAGGCCATCTTGAGTTTCACAAAAAAGTGACACAGGATCGCGAAAACCGCAAGATTCTATCTCCAAAGAAAACTGAGATATCACATAAAAGCATCCAAAACTGTACTTCTGATTGTATGAACATTGTTGAACATAGAATGAATAGGCAAGTACACAAATGCGTGAATTCAATTTAAATTGAAAAATTGTAATATATAGTAACATAACATGAATGCACCAATTTGTTGATAGAATATGCTGTAATGCTTAATAAAACACGATTTGAATACCCTACAATTTCATGGAAAGTTCAAACATAGCGTTCGGCGGCGCCAGTACTGACGTCATAATCTCCTTTCCTGTGTTGCCAGCTGTTTTATTTTTACGAAATCTCAACTAAGTTTCTCAATTTAGAATCGATCCAACTGTCAACTGATGAGATAATTTGATATTCATTGACGAAGTAAATGTCATCAATATAGTATGTATCATGTATGTATGTATAGGTTTTTCCCGCATTGCCAATTCTTCAAGTATATGGCTGACATGATTACTAATCGAGTAGCTTATAATAATAATAATAATAATATGCTTTATTGTCTGAAGAAGAATCTTGTTGACAAAGCTAGGTCAGATAATATTGTAAAAAAAGGTGAAAATATAACGACATAAAAATACGAGACAATATAGTCAAAATACCACATCAAAATTCTAAAATATCACAATTCAAACGTATCACTATAATATTCCTGCAAACTGTAATGGGGTCAGAGAGGAACTTTTTGACTTTCTTCCTGAATTGACAGTCATTCAGACTTGCTGACCTTATATCAACTGGCAAGTGGTTGTACATTTTCCCACCATGATAGTATATGGAATCTTCAATAATGGATGGGAGTTGTAGTGAATTCAACTTGTGTTTATTTATCAGGCAAACAGATTCCAAAATGAATAGTGCAATCACTGTCAATATTTTATTATAGGAAAATAAAATTCTGAGGTTTGACATTACATAAATAGCTTATCGCTCGTTTCTGTAGAATTAACAGAGTTTTTAAAGACGTTGGGCTGCACACTCCCCAAAACGTTATTCCATATCGTAATTGGGAATCTATTAGTGAATAATATACCATCTTGGCAGTGAATAATCCTAATTCCCTAGAAATCACTCTCACTGCATAACATCCAGAAGAAATCTTACCAGTGAGTAGCTTGACGTAGTTACCAAATTTCAGATTCTTGTCATTATATATATATATATTATACTAGTTTTAGATATATTGAACGACAGAATATTGGCGTCACACCAATCTTTCACCTTTTTCAAATCAGATGATATCATTTGATGCAGATCTCGAGGATTCCTACTGTTCCATAATATAGTAGTATCATCTGCGAATAGAGTGAACTTTCCAGTTATATAAATTTTCGTGAGGTCGTTGATATACAATAAAAAAAGTACAGGTCCCAACACAGATCCCTGTGGAACACCATAATAAATATTTCTCTTTTTCTCTAGTTCTTTCGTTTTGACCACTTGATGATAATGATTCGATCCATCTACATGTATGTTATTCCTCTGCATCCATACTGATGAAGTTTTCTCAGCAGTATTCCATTATCAACACAGTCGAATGCTTTTGATAAATCACAAAACACCGCCGCGGAAATCTCACCTGCATTTATTTCCGAATAAACTTTTTACAAAAGTGAGAATATAGTACGTAGGTTCGATCAGTAGCGACAAAGTTCGGTCTAATCCTCAATTATTCGTTTGATGAACCCCAAATTTTGGTGACATCACTTTAATATCTATGCCATGATATTATGTTAATATGACACAAGACCCAATCCAATGTTTAAGGAAACAAGAACAATTTAGTTTCAAACGGTCTTGCTCAGTTCATCCATGACATTGTTGAAATCAGTTGAATCTTGACAGTGATGAATGTTAAAATATCCAAACAAGTAAAGAATCGGTACGGCAACGCTGTTCATGTTATTGAATAGTGAATCATCGATTTTTTCCCGACTACCAATAGACGGTCGGCGCTTTATGGAACTTGTGACGTCAGTACCGCTGACGATTTTCTGTCCTGTTCTAGCAGGAGCATTTCTTTGGGAAATCTAGAAGGAATAAAAAATTCTCCCTGCCTTTTCTCATCGTAATGAACGTCATAGCATTTTTTCTAGAAATTAGAATTCTTGCCTGTACCAAAAAACTTGAATGAATGCCTCGATAGTAATACTGTATTTGGAAAACTTAATTGCCATTTCCAGTAGATCTAGTGATTAGAATAAAAAATCCTTGTTTAAATTGAACTTATGTGTATTCCTATTACATTTTGATTTTTGCGCGATTCGGATGCATCTATATATATTTCACCGGTTTTCACAAAATAATTTTATGTATGTACTAAGTCATACAAATAATTCAAGTTATGAATTATAAAAATAACTGAGATAATGTCAAGGCGTCCATACTTTCATGATGTTATGATTATTTGTAGGGATCGACCGATACCGATATTTATATCGGCCTATCGGTGATATCGGCCTCATTGGCCGATTATCGTATCGGCCGATATCAAAGACCGATAGACCGATATATTTTTTTATTGGGAAAAAAATCAATTTGAAAAATGAATGAAAAAAATACACTTCCATCAAAAATATATCTTTATTACCAATGAAAAGTATGTAACGTAAAATCAACTAAACTAGTAAACTAGTAATTAAAAATTTAAAATTAAACCCTATGCGGATTGCAACTGTAAGGTAAACATATTGCACCTTAATAAGATACAAAAATAACTGATTAATACTGATAATTTAGTTTTGGTAGGTTGTGATGCAAAAACAATAAGCCAGGAGTTAGCCTGCTATGTTTTGCATCATAAATATTACCAGCTTCAGAGAAAACTTGTTAACGGCCAATAGACCGATATATCGGTATATCGGTATTTGAAATATCGGTATCGGCCGATTATCGGTATCGGCTAAAATTTCTATATCGGTCGATCCCTAATTATTTGTCTGTCTGAGTATTAGAATTGTTATTTCTAATGATTTTCAGAAATGGTTTTAGTAATATGCAACCTTTAGTTCGAACACTGAAGTCTGAAACCAAAGACCTGTTGAATAGGTTGAAAATACCTGAAAAACCAAAAAGGCCCTTGACTCCCTTTGTCCAATTTCTGAAAGAAAGACAACCTGCCATTGTCAAAGAAAATCCCACTATGAAACAATCTGAAATCATGAAAAAGATAGCGAAAGATTGGAGAGAGGTTAGTGATGAGCAAAAGGAAAAATACGCTCAAAAATTTGAAACTGAGTCAAAATCATACAATGTTGCCATTCTGAATTATAATGCAAGTTTAACTAGTGAACAGCAAGAAGGTCTGAAGAGTGCAGCAACTGAAAGAAAGGAAGATAGAAAAAAGAGGAAGCTTAAAAAGGTAAATACTCCCACACTCTACCAATATAAGAACCACTGAAATTTTCTTGGATTTCTGAAAATCTGTTATCACTTTTTTGTTTTCTGGCTTTATTTGAATTGAAAATAATAATCTCTAGAATTAGTGGTAAAAAAACTTGAAAGCAAATAACTCATAATCACCTGAAAATAATTTGAAATGAGATTAAATTTGATCTTGTTTTGAATGATGCACTCAGAATAGACTCAAATTAATTTAAGCTAGCAAAGAAGATATCAATCATCAATGTGAATTCCTTAATTCTACCACTACTATGAATTTATGAAAATGATGAAAGAAAATTATCTATAAAGGGCGAGTAAAAAATGTGTACGGAGCTTTCTGGAGGTGATAGTATATTGAAAAATAAATATAGTTTGATGAATGAACTAATGATCCAAAATGTATATTAAGCAAGATATTTATCTCTCTAAAGTTGATATAATTGAAATAATTTCCCCACATAACTTCTAAAAGGTGAAAACCACCAGATTGAATTTTCCTGCATGAATGTATGTTCATAAAATTCATTTTTATGATACACTTCTACATTTCTGGTATTGTAATAAAGGTCGTATAAAGGGTGTTTTCAGAGGGTGGGTCATGATTTCTTGAAGACAACTTTTTTCTTTTTGTTAGAAAATAGAGGCATTTGATAGAGCGAAAAAAAACATATAAAAACGGTACCTACTTCTATCAAAATACAAAAATTGTAACAGAGATATTTCAGTTTTTTGTAGTGACATGATATCAGCAGATAAATTCAACAGTAGGCCTCAAACTTATTGACCGGACACCATCTTTATTTTTCGTTTCCTCAAAACTGTTCTAGAATTTGAAACGCATCGAGCGGGAAATATCTCCTTTCTTCATTCTTTGGTATGGGCTTGAATAACCTGCAATTTCTTTAAATCTCACTTGAAAATCGCAGTAATAATATTGCTAAGCAAAAAAGTCAAATCACAATGGTCATGTCATAAACGTCAAAATTAGGAACAAACTTGATTATGATCTCCTAAAATATTGTTACTGATGAATTAATCTGATGATATCATGTGACTACAAAAACTCAAATATCTCGGAAACATTTTTTATATTTTGATGATAGTACCGTCTTCATATAATTGGTTTCGCTATAACAAATGCTTCTAGTTTATCACCAAAAAGAATATGAGGAAATAAGTTCTCTTCAAAAAATCAGGACCCATCTTCTAAAAACACCTTTTATAAGAATATCAGAAATGTATGAGTATATCAGAAGAATGTATTCATCAACATACATTCATGCAAGAAATTTCAATCTGGTGGCTTTCACCGTTTAGAAACTATGCAGGAGATTTATCTCAATTTTATCAACTTTGGAAGGTTATATTTCCCTTATCAAACTTTACTATTTTTTCAATGTTTGATCGCCTCCAGAAAGCTCAGTACACATGTTTGACTCACCCTGACATGGGGAGACTGATTAAGCAAGCATTATAATTTTGAAATGTTTGTAGATATGCAAGGAAACCAATAAACCAAAGAAACCATCAGGACCATACATACTGTTCTTACAAGAAGAAAGCAAAGCACGAAATATTCCATTTAATCATATGATGTCCACTGTCAAAGGGGAATGGGAGAAACTACCAGCAGCAGAAAAATCTAGATATAGGGAACAGTACTTGGCAGAGAAGAAAAAATATGAAATAGCATTGATAGAGTGGGAACAGGAAATGGTGGGAAAAGGACACCCAGAGCTGGTCAGAACTACATCAGTAGTTGATAATCCATCCAGGGTAACTAATTATTTTTTTATTACAAGGTGTCGCTAAAGAAAATCACCCGATCCTCCAAGGATATAACTTTTTTTTTATAAATTTAATAAATCGGTTCTGTTTGTGTTTTCACTATAGTGAATTTCACGAAAAAGAGAGTACTGGAAGGATTAAAGTCACCAGTACTCAACGGGGTAGAAATTCCGTTCGCCCTAGAGGCAAAATACTTAGGAGTCATCTTTGACCATAAGTTAACATGGAATCAACACCTACAAAAAATTGTTCAAAAAAGTACAGTAGCCTTCAATCTGTGCAGACGAATGTGCGGGAAAAATTGGGGACTGCAACCAAAAATGACCACATGGCTCTATGCCAGCGTCATCAGGCCTATGATAGCATATGGGTCAGAAGTTTGGTGGCCAAAGACACAACAGGCTGGAGTGATTCGAAGGCTCAGTGCTATTCAAAGGCAAGCTTGCCTGAGTGCCACTGGTGCAATGAAAACCACTCCAACAGCCGCTTTAGAGGTCCTCTTGAACCTACCACCACTACAAATATATATTCAAGGCAAAGCCAGAGCAGTCGTGAGTAGATTGTCAAGGGGTCAAGCACCCATAAGCAACGCGCACGGTAAAGACTATAGAAAGCTATATGAAGAGTTGGAAAGCGACCCCATCATGGGAATGCCAACGGATGGCATAATTCCAAAATATAGCTTTGAAAAAACTTTTAAAATAAGTATAACGGACAGAGAGGCATGGAAGGAAGGACCTCCTATCAATGCAGACATTGCTGTCTATACGGACGGCTCCAAAACTGAGTTTGGATCAGGAGCTGGTATTTATGGGGCCAAGCCAAAGACAAGAATCTCACTGAGCTTAGGTAAATACGCGACGGTGTTTCAGGCAGAAATTATTGCAATACATCATTGCGTGAAAGAATTGATAAGGCAAGAGTTTAAAGGCAAAACCATTGCAATCTATTCAGATAGCCAGGCGGCAATCAAAGCAGTCAACTCTATGCAAGTTAACTCAAAACTAGTATGGGACTGCTTAGAAACCCTAAATGCACTGGGCAGTCAGAACAGACTGACTCTAGCATGGGTACCAGCACATACAGGGTACGAGGGCAATGAAGAGGCAGACTCACTTGCCCGAGCAGGAGCAAACAAAGCTCTGAATGGCCCAGAACCCTTCTGTGGTATTGCGAAAGCTATACAAAAGACTAGTATCAAATCATGGATGCAAACCAAATCTCAAGAATGGTGGAACAAATCGCCAGGAATGAGACAGGCAAAAGAGTTTATTAAAAAACCATCGCCAACATTCACAGAATATCTACTAAGCCAGAAACGAAGTTCAACTAGAATACTAGTGGGACTTCTCACAGGGCATTGTAGGCTCAACAAACACATGAGTACGATAGGTCTGACTGAAGAACTGCTGTGCAGGTTCTGTCAGGAAGAGGAGGAAACAGCAGTACACATACTTTGCCACTGTGAGGGCTTGTCAAGACTAAGGTTCCTTACGCTGGGTGAGGAAAAACCAGAAGCCCAGAGATACACAGGGGATCTGAAAGCTAGCCTATGGAGTCTCATAGAGAAGATGGGGCTAGCCGAAGAACTCTAATCGATTTTGAGGGCAGACACAATAGATCTGAAAAGGTCGCGGTGTGGAGGCAGATAGCCCGAAGGCCCCATTCTAAATCTAATCTAATCTAATCTTGTGTTTTCTGATGATTATAAAAAATAATATCAACCAAGTTGGCGCCGCCAGAGTTGAAGTTGAAGTTTTAGAGCATTTTCTATCACTTGTTCTTTCTTAGGGCTGCCAAGGTGAGCGACCAGGAAACAATATTCATTCAGAATATCTGCATCCTTGAGTGGTTCAAAGTTCTATGAGTTGGCATGTTATATTACATCTGCCTTCTTCACAATGTCAAAAGTCATGATGACAGATGAAGACATTCGAGAAAATAGATTTTCTAGGGTGATTTCTTTTGAACCACCTATTAGATGTCACTATTTTCTCTGATGCTATTATACAAAGTTTCCACTTCTGGAATTCTAACATTTCAAAAATATGTTATCAGAAAGGGATTAGAAATAATGATTGATATATTCAAATACATATCCAACAATATAATTGATAGGTTGTATATAGGCAACTGTAAAAAAACAATTGCAAATTGTCCTTGAAATTGATCATAACATTTTGGAGTGAATTTTTATGTTCAAAAAAGTTATCTAGGCACGAATTCTCTCTTGAGTTGATTCAAGGATTGTTTGAGTCAGGTATACTGGTAGAGTGTACCAAGAAAGAAATCCTGGTTTGTACGGTCTAGTGATGTTAGTCCCAGCACTGGATCCAACGCCCCATTAGTCGAAACATGGGCGGGGTTAGGGAAGCCTACATTCACAAACATCCATGACCCAACTGGGACTTGCACCCATGCCTCAGTGTTGATTTATTGGCCATTTGCCATTGTAACACGAAACCTTCAACAATTGTTACGTTCTTTTATTCACCAGTAGCTCCATCAATCCACCAACTGTGTTCATACAGGGTGTCCGGAAATTATGCGCAAAAAATCAAGGGGAAGATTCTACATGATGAAATAAGAAATTCATTTTATATGTACGTGGGTCCGAAAATGCATAGTTTTCAACATACAGTGTGTTGAAACTTTTAAAAAAGATCGGTTTTACATGAATATCTCAAATGTCCTTCCACCGATTTTCTTGAAATTTGGCAATGATATTTTTTGTCATGAGGGGCTGATATAGCCATAATTCGATTGGAAATATTAAATCCAGTGGCGTCCCGGAGGGCAACCTACCGAATATTATTGTCAAGAAAATGTGCGCCACTGATTTTTTTTAATTCTGTATCTTCATAACCTATTGACCAACTAAAAATACAAGATTTTGGTCTCTTGAATTGTTTCGATGATTTGCTTCATTTCAATGGAAAAAAATAAATACCAATTTATTGCATAAATTTGTACCAAAAAATTCCTTAAAAAAATGGGGTAAAAATAAATGCGTGATCAATGTCCATAGACATAGAATAAGTATGAAGATTCATTTTCTTCAAATATTTCTTGGTACATGTTCAACACACTCTACACTCTGTATGTTGAGATCTATATATTCTCGGTCCAGGAAGGCGTAGTTTTCGATAATACAAAGTGTCAAACATGTATTATAAAATATTTGAAGAACATGAATCTTCATTACATTATTCTACGTCTATGGACATGGATGACACATTTAATTTCACCCCTGTTTTTGAAGCAATGTTTTGCACAAATTCATACAATGAATTGGTATTTATTTTTTTCCACGGAAACGCAGCAAAATAGCAAAACAATTCAAGATACCAAAATGTTGTATTTTCAGTTAGTCATTTGGATATGAAGATATAGAATTTGAAAAAGTCAGTGGCGCACATTTTATTGACAATAATATTTGGTAGGGTGCCCCCGGGACGCCACTGGATTTCACAATTCCGATTTAATTAGGGCTAAATCAGCCCCCTATGATGAAGAATATCTTTGCCAAATTTCAATTAAATCGATGGGAGGATATTTGAGATATTCATAAAAAACAGATTTTTTCTAAAAAGTTTAACACACTGTATCTTGAAAACTATGCTTTTCCGGACCCAAATATATATGAAATGAATTCCATGTTTTCTCATGCAGAATCACCCCCTTGATTTTTCGCGCATAATTTCCGGACACCCTGTATATTCTTTGGTGGATTTTAGTTTGACGTAAACACGCGTTCATTTATTACTGTTGTGTCAATCAAAATTGCAAACCATTTCACGGATGTACAGAGATAGTGGTCGAATTTGGTGGCTTCCGAAATGACAGCGACAGCATAACCTCAAAAAATTGAAACAAAATATTGGATTTGAAAGCTGTTTGCCATTTGCCTAAGTAAAAATATAAATGAATTAATTGAAATCAGTCTAGAATATGGAAATGGAAGGTGTATATTCCTTTCCCCAGTTCTGATTGGCATGTCAAATACCTGCGTTTTTTCTTTTCAACACTGATGACTCCAACAATTCAATAGATCAACATCAGCATATGGATAATTATTCCATGGTTTGTCCTTACCAAAAAAAGGAGTGAAAAAAAAAAGAATTCAACAAAATTACAATTTGATTTAGCATGTCTTCACTCTTCTCCTCTGGTAATGAGAAAGGTGCGGAAGAATTGAATTACAGTTGAATTCAATAAGAAAGCGTACACATATTAGAAAGATAGGTTAAAGTTATCCTAGTTCTAGAGTTGTGTAGAACTGGCTTAGCCAATGCTTTGTACTTTTGATAACTTATAACAACTGTCAACATTTGGTAAACAATCATTCCCGATAGCACGTTTAACGCAAATAGGATGACGTTAATTTCTCTCTTTAATACTCATATGCTTTTTTCAAATACAACTGTATATAACTACATTTTCGAAACAAAAACCTTCAGGTCTAACCAGTGATATTTTGGTAATTGACAGATACCTCACGCTCTACTGACGTAAACTGGCTGTCTGATTAGTCCTCATTAGATAGTACTAAGGATAGTACCATCATCATAACCTACTATCTAGAGTATTTATGCCATAAGGCTTAAGGTATTTTCATGCTTGAACGAATTCTGCAACATTTATGTGAATAAAATGGCGACTGCGAATATCGCAATAAAGTTGAAATATTTGAACTTTTTTACGAATTCGGATGAAATCATAACCACACAGTATGCATAAAATGTGTTGTTATTTTGATATCAAAATTAAGGAATTAGGGAGCGGACATCAGAGGCCGAAAAAAGACAAGACTAGACACTCTAGACTACAGGTTAGTACACAAAATTATAATTATAAATTCCATCATTTCTTCATTTGATTACATTTTCTTGGCAGGATGGATTCTCTGGACGAATTAATTCTAATGTATCATTTGCATGGTCTCTATAGATCAAATTTTTGTTTTTTATGTTCTGGTTCCCACGAAAAGGGATATCCTGTAATGTTCAAAGAACATCGTGAGAACCAAGGGAAATGAGGTAGGGATTGGTGTTCTTCTTAAATTTCTGGAGGTTATATGCCTCGTGGAACACCTCCCTTGACAATGTGTTCCAGAGCCTCGCTGTTCGTTGGATGAACGAGTCTTTAGAAAGAGATATTCTGCAGGTCTGTAAATTGATCTATGAAAATATCTATAAAATAGAGCCAGATCGCCAACTTTTCAACGGTGTTCCAGAGACGTGAGTGAGTTTGTGAGCAAGGTATCACCCAGACAAAGCATTTTTAAAATGCCGAAAAATATATGGAGATTAGTACAGCCTCGTTCCATAAATACGACTGAATAACCCTAATAAATAATTTCGCAGACGTCGAACGCCTCGTATGGTATAAATGATGAGATGCGTTTACGTTGGGTCAGGTTCGCACCAGATAGCGGTCAAGAAGCTATCTGGGACAGCCCTGTACTGATGAGAGCCAAGAGCTCGAAACCGGTCTGCAGGTAGTCAGCGTTCCTGAACCACTTAAGCGCAGCTCAGCGTTTAGGAAGGAAACACTTGCGATTTTATTCGTTTATACGAACTATCGCATAGGTTTCGGGAGGATGTAGTGCAATGTTCTACGTGGCATATAGCCAGGAAAGTAGTTGTTTTTCTCTCGTTATCTACCATTGTCGTTCATTTTATGAACTAGTTGTGGTAATGACTTTGAGTTTCTCTCTTTGTGACCCTAATAAATATTTCAATTACGTTTGTGTAACGCGAATTCAATTTGATGAACTTCTGTCAATGGTGGGACCACAAATGAAGAAATTATATTTGACAACAGAACCCTTATCTCCTGCAAATTTATCGCATGAGTATGAACATCGAATTCTGTTGGGAATTTCATATTTTGCGATTCCCATTAATTTTGCGAAATTCGTACAAGCATGAACATACCTTTGAACTCATCCATTCACAAGATTGAACTGGATGCCACAGAGAATGCTTGTTAAGGTTGAGGACCTGTCATATATCTTGCACACTCTTACTCATGTTTCTCTACACCATGTCAATGTCATGAATTTCGGTTGGATTTTTCTGTGCGCAGCCTTGAACAGAAGCGTTTTCACGCGAGCAATTTTGATGAGGTTTTTGGGTTGACTTTATCATGATTCTTTTTATCTTGATGTGAGACGAAATACTAAATTATTTAACCAAGTGTTGAAATTCATTTGTTTTTTCCAGATACTCTCGGTCAGGAAGGATAAGAAGGAACCTTACAAATAGGGATACGAGTGTCTTCACTCAGATTCATCCGCCAATGCGGGTGAAGACACGTTTCATATTGAAACAAAAGATACTGATGAAAAAAATGTATTCAGAACTCGTGTGAATAGTAAAGTATCGTTAAGTGAAACGAACAATTTAGTTTCTTTTGTTACTGAAGATCGGATATCAAAAAAGGCGGATAATGAAATGAATAATTTGAGAAATGATCTGGCTAAATGTGAAAACAATATTGATGAAGGAGGTTCAATTGATAAATGTTCATCAGAAAAACTACAGAAAACAAACACTGATAGGAGTAAATCGTCTGTGAGTGATTCTAGTATGATGAGCATATTTCGAAAAATTTTCAAATTTTAGTTGGTTGTTTTTTTTTAGAAATGAAATATAGTGATTGCAGCATTATTTTTTTTATATTATTATTTTTTCAATAAATGGTTTTGTTTTTTCTACTAACTCGCCTTTGATATCTTTCAATTCAACGTTTGTACTATACAGGGTGGTCGAAATCGTTCTGTTTTATCAAAAGAAAATTTGTTCATTCCTGATAGTATCTGAAAAAGCTTCGCCCGAAAAATGCCCTTACAACCCCTACAATCTCCTGAAGTAACACCCATGCCGCCTAGGGCCTCTGGTAGAACCGTTGACAAAATATCCATACTACCACACACCAATGCACCAAATAAAAGAAAATAAATAAGATAATAATCTCACATTTATTTTCAATTGTCCTGTATATGTGGGATGATGAAAAAAGATGTCTCCTTAGAGAGAAAAAAGTTATGTTCTAATCTCTCATTCTTCACTATACAGGGTGATTCACGTAGCCCACACTTTAGAAGTTTTCCGACTTGAAGTTAGATTAGAAACTTGAAAATTGGAATGCTGATATAGTCGATTACTTTCAGTTTTTGATTGGCCCTATAATTCTAACTATCAAATAAAAATGAATTTGAAGATTAGTTACTCAATAATTCCCTATACCTGAAAGCTCAATCGAGTTATTCAATAAAAATCAAGAAATGCCTCATCTTATCAACGATACATTTTTCTCCATGAATACGGTGGTTATTATTCGAGGCAACGAATTCTGAACTGGGTAGGTGTGTTTGAAAAAGCGAAGAAGCAAAAGATCTATCGGCAAGCTTAATTAACTCATCCTCAAATTCAATTTTCTTTCATGTGGTGTCGAAAAAAAAATAGGTGCCATTTGAAAATAGATATTTATGTACCAAGGACGAAACACTGTCTATTATAATCGAGTATGCAAATTGATAGGCGAGGCTAGCAATCAGGCGAGACAATAGACAGTTTTTTGCCGAGGTGCACATTAAATTTTTTATGCACTAGCACTTTTCCGCCCGGTTTTGCGGGTGTTGAGTCGCACTTTACCGCCCACGGGCCGTAAAGTGCACTTTACCGCCCGCTGTTCTCAGTCACCTTATATCCACGTATCAATTCATGAAAAACCTATGATCATATTCCTAGATTCTGATATATCCAGCGGTATATCATAAACTTCTTTATCCGATTCCATAGTCTCGCTATTATTATTATCACAATTTTACTTTTCAGTCAAAGAATGACAATTCAGCTCGTTTTTTGGATGTATTGCTATAGACAACAACCATCAGATTAATTGACAACGTCAAAATGAGTTGGGTTTATATACTGGGTATGCATATTGTATATAAAATTCTGAAGAATGAATCTCTTCTAGAGCTGAAAGAGTTTAACTATTACGATAATTGCAATATTGGTAGGATAATTTTCATATGTAAATCATTCATGAACATTACGCTTCTCTTGATCACTGAATTAATACGTAACGAATTAAATTCTGGGGAATATTAATTTATCAAAATCTATAGTCATTACTTATGAGTCAGAAAATAAACCACTAGTGCATAAAATTTTGAATGTATCTCGTGCGTGAAATTTATAGCCTTCAGCGTGTAATGGCTCTCGGCTAGCGCCGTCGGGCCATTATTCACGCCACAGGCCATAAACGCCTACTTTACGCCCTTGATACATAAATAACTATTATCAACGTCAGACATTCATATTCACATCACGGCCCTATTCACACGTGAAATATATCGGATTTCGTGAATAATTAATTTGACAACAACAAATGACAGTTCTTGTCAGCTCACTCTCCGCGCGGACCAGGGTTGCCAGCTCTATTTTTATTTCATCAAAAACAGAAACGAATAGTAAAAATGAACAAAAATACAAAACAAATTAAAACAACGTAAGAAACAAACTGGTACAAAATGAGACCTTCGATGGGATATCTGGACTCCCAGCTAAGTGTTCCACAAATTTGATGCTCTAATTTTGAATGATTTGCGAAATACAAAACTACTACTAATATTTTCAGAAAAATCGACTGTCTCGCGAAAACTGTGATAGATAAGTTGACATAAATTAGATTCTTGAAACTCAAACTCAATATTGCTGAACGTCCGTTATTGCTTCAACATTGCATCAACATAGCTTTCAACTTTGCTTAGCGGGATCATGCATAGCTGGAGGACTAAAAATGTTTGAGATCAATTGGAAATGGTTCATTATAATGAGTTTTTCCTCATTATAATGACTTTTTTCAATATTGTTACCCCGCCGCCTCTGTAGAACTAAATATAATAATGAAACTTCAGTATTAACATCAGATAGTGGGATATTCCACGTGCTCCAAAAAGTGTAGGAATTGTGGTAACAAGTGCAGTGACTTCAAATTTCCAAAATGAGTGAGAACGAGAATGACCTATATCGCAAACTGTTGGAAAAGCATATAGAAAAAAAAGTGATGGCCTCAAAAGACGATTTAGTTCGAGTTTGTCAGCGTCGGATGCTAATGAAATAAACAGTGACCTCACGTTACCCTCAACATCTAGGGCGGCCGGTGATATCGTACCCGTATTTGATCCAGATGATAAGACAATGACAATTACAGGGTGGATCCAAAGAATTTATCAACTCGGAGATATTCATGGTTGGAGCGACTATCAAAGAACTACGTTTATGCAACAAACTGCGCGGATCAGCGCGAAATTGGTTTAACCGGCTGGACGATTATAGAAAGTCTTGGTGCGAATGGAAAACAGCGTTGGCACGCGCCTTTTAGATGTGCAGACTGAGCAACGGTGTTAGAAGATTTGGTTAAGCGGAAAAAAAGATCCGGTGAGACAATTACACATTATTATAAGGACAAATTGCTCCTGAAAAGGCTTGCCGTTGGAACTTCAAGCTAACGCCAGGTCATTTCAATGCTCAACAATAATTGCTGAACTTTATGCAGGATTTATTGCTCCCCTCGAAAACTATCGGAGCCCACGAAAAGAACCAAAAGCTAAAAGGATCTGATTGGACAGTAGTAATAGTAGAACTGGAGAATGTTTCAACACTGGAAAGTTAGGTCACGTGGCTAGAGATTGTCGCCTCAAGGGATACTTGCCCCTGAGCCGAAATCAGTTCGGGTGATAAATGCACGAGAAATCAATGATACCTATACAAAAAGGTGCACTATAAATGGAAATCAAATTATTTCCTACCTAGATAGCGGATCGCAGGTGAATATTATTCACAATATTGTTGTGGAAAAACTTCCAGTTTTTCCGGTGTCAAGCACCTTAAAGTATGTTGGGGGATCTCTCATACATATTGACAAAGCAACCAAATTCATTTTGGAGGTCGATGGATTTCCAGGCCGAAACCTCAGCCAATTATTAACGCCGAGGGGGTATCACTTTTCGTTTTTTCAGGGAAGGCTATATGCTAACCAAAGAGATTCGTTGGCCAGTATTACTTTAGATGGAACATGGGGTCGGCCGCATCTTTTCATTTCGGAGGACATCACACTACAGCCCAAGACAACGTCGATCGTATCAGTGAATATAACAGAAGTCGACGATTCTGAAGACATCTATACAGACAATAAGCGATTCCAAACCGGACGGAATTTGATCAGCATTCCAGGAATGATTCAACGAGGTTCCAAGGGTGTGATTCCAGTTTTCAATATCGGTCTTCAAGAAGTGACCTGGCAGGAGGAAAGGTTGATTGGTCGAGGCTGTATCGGTTACACGACGATGAGTAACTATAAGGTGAGCCTGATTGGAAATAGTGCGTTGAAATCATTTCGTATGGATGATCTAGACATTAATACTGATATGGATTTGAGAACACGTAATGTTTTGTATATTTTGAATAAATAGAGAAATTGTTTTGCTGACAATTCTGCAGAGCTGGGAACCGTTAAGGGTTGATCACTAGAAATTAAACTAAAAGATGAGTCCAAACCTGTTTGTTACCGACCATACAGACTCTCCATCACAGAGAAGGAGTTAGTTAGAGATAAGGTAGAAGGATCAGTAGATGCCGGTATTGTGCGATCACACTCCGATTTTGCTAGCCCTATAGTATTGGTTAAAAAGAAAGATAGCTCCTTTAGGTTATGTTGCGATTACAGGGCTCTTGATAAAGCTACCATCAAACAAATGTATCTAATGCCCAAGATAGAAGAGCATCTGAATTTGTTATGTGGTAAATTTTATTTCAATTCATTGGACTGTAATCAGGGATTCCATCAAATAGCTGTAGAACCGAAATCGATTCAAAAAACGGCATTTGTGATACCGGATGGACATTATGAGTTTCTTAAAATGCCTTCCGGTTTGATTAACGCGCCTGCGGTTTTTCAACATAAATAACGCACTGGGGGGTCTCCGTTACAGGGAGGTGTTGGTATATATTATGGATGCTTTATTGCTACCTTCAACCACAGTATATTATCCTTTCACGTAGGATAATATACTGTGCTTCAACATCCATCAATGAGGGCTTGAAGCTACAGGAAACAGTTCTCAAAATTCTGAGTGAGTCTGGTTTCAAATAGAAATTGAAAAAATGTTCATTCTTGAAGAATTCAGTAAACTTTTTGGGACATGAAATTGGTCTGAAAGGTATATTCCCTGGATCGGCAAAAGTTGAATGGGTCAAAAATTTCAACTATTCATGAGAGCATAAATACTAATAAAATTGTAAATGGATGTTGTACTTTCGTTTTTCGTACGTAACAAACACATTTCAATACTATGCTTGAAGAATACATGGAGTGACACTGACAAGAGCGACTCAGCGGTACCCCCACCAATGTATTCAATAGATTATGTCGTCTGGGGTATTTAGATACCTCGCATGAGTACTGAAGGTTTCTATGTTGAGGTGCATTGTTTGCATGAAACTTCACCTGAAGCACATATTTTGGTCTAAATCGATTTTTAATTCAGGGAGCCTATCTTTTTACCCGACAATCAACTGTTCTACGCCATTTCCCTTTTCCCACTTCGCTGACCAATAGAATTCAAATAATACATTTTCTTCAATAAAAATCCTGTGATTTTTTTCAGTCTTCTCGTTGGGCCACTCTATTTACCTCAGGAACATAAAAGAGAGTTACGTGTGAGCAGGCAAACTAGTTCTTCATTTTATACTATTAGTAGAGGATCCGAAGTAAGGTCACAGTATATTATCCTTTCTCGTGAAAGGATAATATACTGTGGTAAGGTCGACCTTCACCCATCCTTGTCTCGGACCTCTTTGCCGCACGCTCAATCACAATTAAATTTTATTCTTCAAAATTTGACATCCGTCATTCAGGACAGACTTTTTATTGTGAGCAACCCTATAAATAGCGCTTATTTTAGGTTTAATTTACAGATCAAACAAGTCGGTGAAAAGAACTAGGACCAAAACACCTGTTTATACCTGGCAACCCAATAGTCAGACCGGGACAAATATAGGCAACCCTATGTTTGCGTATTTTATAGGCCAGGATTTTTTTAGGCAACTAATTTTTTTTAATAATATTTCACATGCTAAATTACTTATGAAATGATTTTCATCCAACAAACAGATGGGTGAAGGTCGACTTTACTTCGGATCTGAGACTATACAGGGTGTTCCGTAACATGTGGATTAACAAGGAAATAAAAAAGATTAACAAGAAAATAAAAAAGTTCCCATGAACAAAAGTCGTAGAAGTCTTCGTTTGCGAGATACAGGGTGTTGAAGTTGAAAATAAAAAACAATTTTCATTGGATTTCGAGATAACCGCTAAACAAAAATTCTTGATATTCTGGTGCATAACTCAGTATCTGAGAGTGATTGAATAGGTAGCATTATTTAGTCAATCTGACTCCAAGTGGCACCGTTAAGGGGTATTGATGTGTGAGTTTTCCAAAAAAACATGGGTGGCGATGAAACTTAGAAATTTCATTCGAAAATATGAAAGAGCACCAAGGTTTCTTGAAACTCGTAAAGATACACTGTTTTCCGAGGATGTCGGATAGTCCATTCAAGACGTCTGTTCAGATTACCTCTTATTACTATGATAGACATCATTCTGTGATTGTGGCACTATATTCTAGTCACATAACAGACTAAATTTTGCCACTACGATAAGCTATACAGGGTGGACATAAAAATGTTTATAAATATTTCAAACAGTATCTCGCAAACGAAGTCATCTACGTCTTTTGTTTATGGAAAGTTTTCATTTTCTTGACACGCCCTATCACCTTCCGAAGTGCGTCCCACATATTACGAAACACCCTGTGTATGATTTTGTGGAAATTTTCATAATTACTTATTGCATTTACTATGGGTTTACATTAGTAATTGCAGACTTTATAAAAATAGTGGGTGATTTGTTGTTCTGTAGGGATACGATTTCATGAATAAAAAAGGTATTGTGAGAATATATTTTATTACAGTTTTTTCACGTATCCATTTGAATACATCTTGATATATTGATTGAATACTGTTTTAGATCAAATTCAATGAGAAATATGAACATAAGGTACCTACTGATGATTTTTCAAATACATTGAATATCTGACAATATAGAATGCACATTTCAGTCTAAGTATCGTTTCGAAAACGTGATTTTCCGACATACATTCCATGGAGTGAAGGGTGCCATCATGAAAATAACCTGCACTCAAGTTTGTTGTTTCCAGACATTTGTGAAGTTGACTAAAAGCTGAAATTTTCATTTGCTAATGTTTTTATTTCACATACAGGATCTTTTCGTGGAATAAACATATGAACTTTGATTTTTTAATTGAAACAACAGGTCTATTTTCTACAGGTCAACTAAACCTTTCTTATTAAAAGAATATTTTCATTATTACATTATTATTGATGCCCAAAAGTTTAGCAGAATACAGCCGATTTTCACTTCATGTATCACTTTTAACTTTTAGATGAAGTAAAAAGTCTACCATTTTATTATCATTATTTGACAAGGAAAAAAAATCCATATAAACCGGTATTTTGTAGTTTTGATCATCAATAACATAATAATTTTTAGTTTCAAAATGGGAATGAAGAACATATTATGATCTTTCGAAAATGTACATGGCGTTCCATTAGAGAAATCAAGTAGATGTTCATTCTTCAAAAATGTAAGAGCCTGTGAAACAATATGAACATTGTAGTAGTTCAGCTTAAATCGTTTATTCAACATTTTTCCATCTTTTAAAACAAAAAAGTTGCGGAGAGGTCCAATTTCAAGAGGCAAATCCTATAGAGTTATTATGTATATAGGCCCTATGCATTGGCGAAAAAATCGATTTGTAAAAAAATTAAATAAAACATTCCATTTCAACGAACGAAATGTCTATCACATAAAAAATACTGAAAATATTATATGCTTGATGTCTGATATGTTGAATAATGATAGGAAGAGTGATGCGAAAATATTTTCAACAACAATTATTTGAATGAATAATTTGTAATAATGATGAAACAAATTCATGGCCAAGTAAGGGGATCCTGGTAACCATAAGAGGGTTCGACGAATTATTGATCTTCGTCAACGCCTTGGTTTTGTTATAAATTTCACTAGCTTGAAGTGGTATGTGACTATTATTGCTCTTTCAATTTTTATGATATACCTATAATAAAAAAATTAAACCAAAAACTAATTAAAAATCCAGGAAGGTTGGTATTGTCGACCCAAAGACAAAATTTCGGATTTTAAATGTAATGATGCATTTTGTTGAGTAGAAAATGTGGCAATGATGAAATGACAATATTTTGAAATAATAATAAATTGAAGAATGTTGCTTTTTTCTGGGTAACTCTGAATGTATTCAAAATCCTTCAAACTTTGAAGCGGCATTTCGTTGGGGAAAATAGCAAAACTTTGCCCCTATTTGAGCCACCCTGAATCTTCCATAGGTACCGATATTCCCATACTTATCCACGAATTTGTATCACCCTTTATATAATTGTTATAATTATCTTCAAATATACCACAAGCTATTATATTACTAATAATTATTTTTCTCTTAATCTTTAATCGTGAAAGTGACTTGCTGAGACACATATTCTCAAGTTTCAGAAGATTATCAAGTAGAAAGATCAGAGATATATTTTTGAACAGTATGAATATTGAATAGATTTGAATGGATACAAAACATACAAGTTTTAGGCCTTTCTACCCTGTGAAGAAAATACCAACGTTGTCTATCTGACTAATGACTATAACGACAAAAATCATCAAACAAATTTCACATAAGTATGCTGTATGCTTCTCTGAAAAATAATAAATAAACTCTTGGTGCTATAACAAAAACTTCGTAAAAAGCAAAAATATACAATGACTAGAATATTCTATCACCATTTCATTTCTAAATGTTTTCAACATATTTTTTTGCATGTTTTGTAACTTTTATGGCACATATTAATATCTAACATCTACAACAGTACAACAGATAACATTTTTTCAACCAACATTCTCCATTATGGCCTCCATCCCATAATAACTTTTTTGAATGGAACAAAAATACCGTGGTATGGTTCACTGAAAAAAAAAGCAAAAGATAATTGTTTTTTTTCTACTACTGCTATGAAAAGTAGCGCATTTCTCATAGCTTACTTAGTTTCAAAACCATGTATTGCTTATACTGTGAGAAATATTTTTTCTCACGACACTTTGCCAACACCACATACATTTCCATGGAGAATCAACAAAAATCGACCAAAACTGGGCTGCTGTTCAGCTTTGAATAGTTGCCACAACTGTCAGAAGAAGTTCTTTAAATTCTTTTGGGTAGTTCTCATTAGTGCTTTTGAAAAAAATCGCATTTTCCATCAAATATTATTCCAATAATTCATAATACATAATATGATGAATATACCGGGATGTGACGATTTTGATAAATACACCGCCAGACAGAGATAATGGAAAAAGCTGCGAAAGTTGGATTTGTTTCCGGAAATTTCAAGAATAAAATATGAATTGGCATATACGAAAAATTTGTGGAATCCAAAAAATACAGAAATAAAATCTTTTTCGGAAAGTGTACTTTTTTTTAAATACTTTGAGGAACTAGGAGAGGCGTCTACTCTTTGGTCACAATATTCAATGTGGCATAGTGCCACATTATAAAATGAATACCAATAAGTTACATTACTCGGATTCTTTGAATAAGTGCAGTTGTAGAAAAAGTATAGTGTGCAACATGTGGGGAAAAGGACTTTTCTCACTCGTGTGTTTGCATCACTCGCCACAAACTTTCGCACTCGTGAGAAAAGTTGACCTTTCCCCACTTGTTGCACAATATACTACTCCTTTTTTTCGTAAGATCAAATTTTCCTTCAGAAAAAAATGAATAAAAGAGGAACTTGGCTCCTCCACCATTCCTATGACGTACTTTCTGAAAATCCACATTCACAGTTTCACACAGAGTCAAAATACGATTTTCTGTGCCAGTGCGACGTTGCCGACATCATCAATATGTCTAGATTTCCGGAAATTGTTCTTTGAATGCATAACTATATTAGGTTCTTCGTTCCTTAATAAAACGGATTTATTTCCTAGGAAAGTTACAGATTATATCTTGCAACAGCGCCTAATACTTCGAGTCCGTCCACGCCACTCAAAATACTGACAGGCACAACAAGAGGAAGGAGCCATGTGTGTCGGCTTCATTCTGTTCTGACCGATGGCAGTAATTTAGGAAGGATAGTATCATTGAATATAGCCGATAGTGATTCATTTATATTTTCGTTTAGGATCAAGCTCTATTCGAGATATTTCAATGCATAAATAACATGACCATAACCTGTCAGAATAAAGCCAACTACCTTCTGCATTCCTGCTCCGAGTGCATTTGTGGTTATGTATGTTTATTTTTACCAGTTTTACTTCTTCTATTTTTTTCAATCGTTATTCATTCGTTAGGTATTCGCTAGCTATATTCTTCACCATCAGCTGTTTTCAGACTAGATTCAGAATGTACGTCACTGCTTTAATTTGAAAATGAAAACGACTTGGGCCTTATCGGTCGTCATTCTGTACAGCGTGGACATAAAACTGAAGAGTTCCTAACTTAGGGGTCTATTCAGTAACTTGTCGTTAGAATGCGATATCGTTACCTTAACCATACATTGACCAACGACATTTTGAACGATGAATTCTAGAAGCTTATTCAGTATCGATGTCGTTAGAGAAATATCTGGGAACATGGTAATAAATGGATTTGGTGAATGTTGGTAACAGTATGTTGATGTTCTGTGGCTAAAAACGCGCGAAACTCGTTAGAAGTTGAAAAGAAGGTAATGGTATGTTATTTTTGTCAAATAATATGGTCAGCACTGCGTCTTCCAGGAAACAAAATTGTTGTTTTTGTGTTGAAAATTCCATCAGCTGTCTGAGGGAACTTGGATCGATGGCCAATTGGTATGTATACATGCCAACTAAGTATATATTATACTACTTCAATAAGAAGAGTTCCCTGTCGTTCTAATCTCACTCTCATGATAGGAGTGTTCTAGTATTTCTACAACACGAATCCTGATATTTCATTACATAAATCTTGTGCTGCATCTTTTGCTCAATCTTATAGGTAACATCTGACGAATTAGCACATCTGGTAACTCAAATGGATTACTCATATCCCTGAGTATTCTGAGTTGCTGTCAAAGTTGTTGTCTGAAATGTTATTGATAATATTACATGATATAACAATGTAATGTACCAATGCGATCACTAGAAACAATGAAGAGTTTTTTATCTGCGTGCTGTCTCTTCTAAAACTAGCTCTATTAATGGCCGGTTATTTGTTTTTCAATAATCAGCAATCAAATAATCTTTCCACATTCACCACTCTTTTGCCACTTTCTATATTATTTTGTTATGTCTCCTTCACATAACGACAAAAAATGCCTCCCAAGACACCTCAGCCGATGTCCTCTACAAACGATAAGTTTTGTCGTACACGTACGACAATCGTTAGCTACAGAATGAGAAATATCGTTCCGTAACGATTATCGTTCGCTAACGATGTCGTTAAGCGTTACAGAATTGCCCCCTTTGCTATAAAAATTCATCTAAAGGAAACTTCCCATTCTATGGATGGGTCCATCCAGGGCCTACTCTATCTCACCGGGCCGTAGTCTATCCCCTCTACCTCGATGCTGACGTTACACTAGTAGGTTGAGATTTCACATCATTTCATATCGGTGCGTTCGTAATTGAGAGGTTATAGCTCATTTACTTTGAAAATTAGAAGCACACTCAATCGAGACGAATTGATCCCTGATGAACTACCCAACTTTCGGTAAAAAAATAAATTCATTAGGATGAACCAGTACCGATTTATGATGTTGTAAAAAAATTCAATTTTAATGAAAATCAGGACGTTGTACTACGGAATACTATTTTTTGTCAATTTGGAATCGGTTTAAAATGAAACTGACTGAGTATGTCAAACTAGGATAATGCATCAATTACATAGTGAGAAAATCATTGAGCTACCTACAATGAGTCCGAAATAAATTTGAAACAAAGAGCGCGTAAAAATTTGCCTAGTATTATACCTACCTAATTTCCCAGTATTAACGATTTTCTATAGGTAAATGGCAATGTACGTTTTATTACTCATGTTCCAGTTGTGGGTCTTTTGATATTTCAAAATCGAGATTTTTCAACTTTAGGATTCTTCTGTGACGAAACTATTCTTTATCGGTCGAAACGGCTTTCATGTCCGTATCTTGACTTTTGATTTTCTATCTACTGACATTTAATTATTGGAACAGATACAGGGTGATGAGAATTCTGAATCTTGAATCACACTGTATATCTTCCAATTAAATGTCAGTAGATAGTAAATAAAAAGTTGAGATAGGGACATTGAAGCCGTTCTGACCAATAATGAATAGTTTCGACACAAAAAAATATTTAAGTTGAAAAATCTCGATTTTGAACACCCTATATCTCTGTAATCATTCCCGCTAGACCCCAAGTGTGCTGCATTGATGAAATCAGCTCTTCAGGAAGAATCTAAAAATACAATGAAATACAGGGTGTTTCATTTGAAAAAATCAAGTAGTACTCTGTAGATCGTTTGTTCCAAGCACCCTGTATTTTCTGATGCAACGGGAAAAAATGTCTGAAAAATCATTTTAATTTAAATTTAATTTTTAAATCGGTTTAAAAATCAGTGAGCTAGAGGGGGGGACATTCATGGTGAATTACTCTGTACATATTTGATCTCTTGACATTTTTTGATAACTATTACTAGTGTGACGTCACGAAAGTGATGCTCCGGCCCGGTGAGATAGAGTAGACCCTGGTCCATCCCGTGTAGTTTATAGTCGGTGCTCCTTACTCACCACTGAAAGTACCGCCTGTTCGACACCGCCCCGTCGCAGTACCCGTCCGGCGCGCTCAGCTGCACGCCCACCTGTGTCTCCGTGCGCTGCCCGCCCACCGGGCCGACGTACCTCACCCGGCCGCCCCGCACCCTGCCCTCGGCCGTGATGACCTTCGCCCAGTGGTCGGGCTTAAGGTCGCGGGGTGCGCGCGGCAGGAAGGGCAACCAGCCCGCGGGCGGCACGTTGTCGCCGGCCGGTTCCGGGGCGGACGCTCGGCGGAGGACCGATTTGGTTCTTGACTGGCTGCAAATTGAAATGCATATACTGGATTTTTGATTTCTTCCAAAATTTGTATAGTTCAAGTCATTGAATACAACACCAGGTATTCCTTGTTTTTTAATCGTTTCAAAATTGACGTATAGAGTGATATTTTTTTGAATATTTTGATGCTAAGTTGAAATTTTTTAGTTAAATTATCTTTCAGTGCAAACATATGAAGGATGATGTTTTTTTTACTGTTTTTGGAATCAATAGGAACCATACTGAATGTTTTGAAATACCGATTATATATAATGTTCTAAAACATTATATGTTCAACTACCATTGTAGCATTTGTCATTTCCTCAATGTCTGAATGAATGAAGAATTGAACGCCTACAAATATTTCAAAAACCTAAGAAGAATACTGTCTGTAGGTTAATCGAGGAGGTGGTACATTCATTATTCCAATTTTTTTGGGATTTTCTCCTCGTTTCTATGAAATGAAAATATGAATATTATTTCAATATACGTGTAGTAAAGACAAATCAGATGATTTGCCCCAAAATGTCACTGCGTTCAAAGAATTTTCCTATCCGAGAGCCTAAAAGAAAAATTCACTAGCTTGTCAGTGACAATTTGTATTGAAAAAAGTTTGGAGGAGAATTTTCGGTCCCGAAACGTCCAAATGTTCGAGATACTCCACCATTTTGTTTTTTTCAATAATGAAGGGATTTTCAAATCTTGCACTCTATACTATATCCCTCAAGCCACAAAATGACGTCAAAAAATTCTATTTCGGTTGAAAAATTATGAAATCACGAGGAAAATAAAAACTTCCGGTTTTTTGTGACCACCCGATATATTGACTATATCTCATTCAGCAACATTGGTAGACTTCCAGCCACTGTATCTCTTCAAGTTTGTGATGTTTCCACCATTATCAGCAAATAACGTCGCTGAAGTTCGACGAATGCTACGCCCTGTGTAATTTTTAGGACTAGGTAAATTTAAAGATTCTGCGATTCTTAATCCGAGATTCCCAAACTGTGGATACCAACAGGCTGAATCGAACATTTTCCTTTTTTGTAATTCACGAATAATCTGTTAAATGGAGTATGGGGTAGCCATAAACATATATAAATATTGCCTATACAACAGCAGGTTCTCTTTCCCAATTACAACAAAATTTATCTCAATATGTGTTTTGGAATCTGGTATTTTAAAATCAACATGTCTTCCTTTTCGTTTATTAGATCCATTGACATTTTTGTTAGTTCTTTCCGTCTGCACGCACCGGCTAACCCAATAATTGTTGCGACCTGAAAATAAAGCAGATTAAGAAGACACTTTTATATCCTACAATCGTGATATTTTGTTGAAATTACCTTCTTCTGCAACCGACACAAAAGTCGTCCATTTCAATACCAAAATTAGCTCTTAAATTGACGGTTCTATTACTGACACAAACGTAGGAATGTTGCTAGGCAACACTTTTAGTTCGTAGGAGCTAAAGTTGAACTTTAGCTCCTGGGAACTAGAATTGATGTACTAGGTCATAAAGACTACTACAACACAAAATGGCAAGTTTAAATTTTCTAGTAACACAGTAGAGAAACACGTGTAGAGGCGTTTAAAATAATCGGTTTGGTTAGTGGTAAAACAGTGTGGTGAACAAATTTCATGTAACGAACCTGTAAGCCGGCGCAGAATCCCTGCCGCTCGTGATGCAGTCGATCGACCGGCGCAGATAGTGCTCCGCCTCGTCCACCAGGCTGTCGGTGGAGTCACCACTGTCCGCCCCGGTCGCCCACTCGCCGCGCAGTTCGGGCAGCGACCCGTTGGCGAAGCGCACGCGCGCGTTGATGGGCGGCGGCCGCCCCGCGTACGGTCGGTGCGACGGCGACACGGGCGCCGAGCAGCGACGTGCGGGGGCGGGCGGTGATGGGAAGGGGTACGCGCTGCCGCAGGTCGACGGGCATCGGCTGCCCTCGCTCGGGGTGGCCGTGGCTGTCGTGGTCCAGGTGAATTTCTGGGACTGCGGGCACTCGATTTATTGTATAAATCAGTTATGGAGCATATTCCTTAACCCGGGCGCACATTGAAACGCAGGCGACACAGGTGACGCAGGGCAGCACAGCACAATCTGCTTCTTATATTGAAGGTGTAGGTTAGTAATCAATGAACTTATGGACTTATAATCAGAATCGGATTCATTTTGACTAGAGAGAAGTAGTTTTGGAAAAGCGAGTACATGAATAAACGAAATTCTCATGGAGAGTTCCAGTTAACAACCGAATTATTTTCAGATACCCGATTTACAAACTATTTTCGGTTGAACATATTCATATTTGGTTTTCATATAATCCGCATGACTTGTATCATATAATATATAGTCTTCCTCCTGACCAATTCGATCAATTCCTTATATATATATATTATTGTATAAACTCTCACACAGCAACACACGTTTGCACGTCTCGCGCAGAAATCTGTGTCTCGAACACTGAATGACGCAGGTCATTCGAGGCATAGTTCTGCCCTGCTCTACCCTATGTTGCAATTTGCGTTGATGCATTAAAACTATTTTTCTATTCACATAACTAAAATGGCATTTAGCGTACGGATATGTACCACGCTAAATGATCGATTAATCACGGATTGTCGATCTGTGATTTATTCAAAATATTAAACACGTTACCATGGCAACACGATTTCTTAAACACATTACCATGGCAACACAGTTCATTAAACACAGCTTCAGTAATTTGAGACATGTCTGGCCTGTCAATAAAATTGTGTTAACTGTCAATTGTTATTTTCAAATTTTGTATCAGAATTTTTCAAACAATATTCGTTTGTATCAGAATTCTTCATTAAAAATATAAGCGAAATTTAGACGAAAGTGAAATCTGCTACTTGCATTTCTCGAAGAAGTGTAAAAATGAAGCATCCATCTTTGAGAACAATGTATTTATTCTGCACTAAGCATGACAATAAACGTGAACCAAAGATTAGTAAGCAATGGACTGGACACATCTACAACCAATATCACTTATACGTGTCTCGCTGGTTGCATGCAGTTGCATGTAATATGTTCTCAATTCCCATTCCTTTCGAATTATTTTGTAGGTTAGCAGGAATAGCAGGTATGTTAATGTAATTTTCGGAGTTCTTAGAAAAAGTATAGTATGTAACGCGTTTATAAACTCTTCTAGACACTCGTTTATTAAACACTCGCTCCGCTCTGCTCCGCTCGTGCTTAAAATACTCGTTACTAAATGGACGTTTATAACACTTGTTACGTAATATACTATTGTTTACAAAACACGTGCTGTCCTGCGCTTCGTCACCTGTGTTGCCTGCGTCTCAATGTGCGCCCGGGCTTATTCTCAGATACATTGTACCTAGGTGAATTTACTCTGCTCAATAATTGGGATTTCAAATAGTTTTGATATGCTAGTTTGTGCATAAACCTGTTGTGCTGAACTCGATGTTGAATGAAACTTGTATAATCTCATTTTGTAGTTCTTCTGCATTGTCAAAGAGAGTCTACTTGTATAATCTCATTTTGTAGTTCTTTTGTATTGTCAAAGAGTTCATCCACAATAATCAAACATACTATCAAATAGAATCGAATTGGAAGTGATCCCTTTCCAACCAAAACCTTTTAGTCAGGTTTCCTCCTATTGCATCTACAGAGTGGTCCATTTGAAAGTGGGCCACCCTCATTATTTTTTTATTTTCACGATTTTTTTTTCTGAAATGTAGAGGGGGGGGGGAAAGGTGTATTTTGGAGCCAAGTGGCGTCCAGATTATTTAAAAACCAGGGCCTACATTCAGAGGCAGAAAAATCCAGAATCCTTAATAGCGATTTTTTTCAAATAATCCACGTACAAGAGTGGAACTAGCGTCTTCTGAAATAGAACTGTACCAAGTTTCATGTAAAAATATTCAACATTAACAAGTCTACAGCGGGTCGCATTTCAAACGCCCCTCCCTCTATATCTCACTTATTAGTCGTGCGATCTTTACCAAATTGGGACCGATTTGAATGAACATCAATAGGATCAGTTTTTCGCAGAAATTAATCTTCTCGCACAGTGCCGTGCATTTTTATTATAATGAAAAGGGTTCGATTTCGTATGAAATCATCATTAGGAAATTTTACAGGAAAACTGCCCTCATAATATTGTTCTTCATGGTTTCAAACTCCAATATGTACATTTTCATTTTCCTATGAAGAGATACGATCAAAGACCATTAGCATGGCATTCATTGGCATGTTTAATTACAAATACAAATCGGAGCCAGTATTGAACCCTGGAAATCACCCTGTATCGATGAGTGAGTGAGTCTCAGGTGGATTCAATTTTCAATTGGGTACACAACTATGAAAATGTTCTTGTGAAGAATTTTAAAAATGATACTATTCTTGTCACATTTCACAAGAAAAATTATAGTTACGGAACATGTAATCAATCGAACAAAATGGAAAACTACGTGATATAATATGAGAAAATCAGAACAAACACTTTTGGAAATAATGGGATCACTCCAAATTCTATGCAAATTTGCAGTGTACATTGCCCAGTGAAATATTGATTTATTCCTTTTTTGGTTATTTGTATTCATTTTTCTCAAGACAATAAAATGAGGTTCAGCAATCTGAAAACCAAATTGAAATCGGTTATTTTTTTGGAAGATGATCTTACGAATTTGAGCGAAAATTTCAGTTGTCCCACTTCAATGGCGGATAACTTTATGTACAGAGTAGGCCAACGAAAACGAAACAGACTGAATTACTCCCAGGACAATGGTTTTAATGCTCAAATAGGTCGATTTTTATTACAGGGGGGGACACCTCATCCGATCCTCAACTGTACTATGTCATTCCCCTTCCCTCCACTTGAATCAATGAGTGAAGCTCCTCACAATTCAAGCGCCCTCTAGCGAGGAGAAACAATGTTATGTTGCCCAATGTTTGGCATTATTTTTGAATCCGATTTTACCATAAATTCAGTGCACCAATAACATTGCATAACAATATAATATACATACAGCGTTTGAGAACTGATATCTTTGTTCATTTACAGTACATTCTTGAGGTATTATGTAATTCTATTCAATGCATTGAATTACCAATAAAATTTGATTCAATGTGGCAGAATCGACATTATTCCAGAAGTTATTCAGTCAGTCTGTTTCGTTTTCTTTGGCCTACTCTGTATATGACAATACTGCTGTCTTATTGATTGATGTAGATTTCTTGTATAGCAACTCTAGCTAGACCATATCTACCTGTAACATCCAACTTGAGGGTTATATGTATGCTTTCACTGATAAGTACTATACCGGGTGGCTACGGAAGTATTGCCTACGGAATATCTCAGTTATTGTATGAAGTAGGTTTGTGAAATTTGGAGCGTCGGTATAATGATATAAGAGCTAGAATTTGAGCACATTGACAGGTCGAAGTTAACTTCCGGTCTGACCGGAAGTAACATCAACTTTCTCATTTTAAATGGAAACCCTATTTTTTTTTTCTTTCCGCTTTATTCAGCATTCAATTCCCTTTCTAATGACATATCACAAGTTGGTATCTAACCAGAAACTAGATCAGAAAAAAATTATTCTTGAAATTCACCGAGTAGGCCGTGGAAGCAAAATGAAAGCCAAAAAATGACTTTCTATTATATCATTAGAAAGGAATGGTTATGCTGAATAGTACAGGCAAGAAAAAGTTGTATGTTCCTATTTAAGTTATGGACCTACAGAGTATTATTTTTTTCCCAATTTCTCCAATATATTTTTTTGCGGCTTTTTATAACGCCGACGAATGAAAATAAAATATCACAGTAGTAGCAACTGTTATCAAGTGACGTATGGTTTCCATAGCCAACTTTTCAATTTTTGGCTTTCATTTTGCTTCCACGACCTACTCGGTGAATTTCAATAATAATTTTTTTCTGATCTAGTTTCTGGTTAGATACCAACTTGTGATATGTCATTAGAAAGGGAATTGAATGCTGAATAAAGCGAGAAGAAAAAAAAATAGGGTTTCCATTTAAAATAGGGAAGTTGATGTTACTTCCGGTCAGACCGGAAGTTAACTTCGACATGTCAATATGCTCAAATTCTAGCTCTTATGTCATTATATCGACGCTTCAAATTTCACAAATCTACTTCATACAATAACTGAGATATTCCGTAGGCAATACTTCCGTAGCCACCCGGTATATCACGTAATTCGCACTTACTGTATATGCAGGAGAATAAAGATCCGATGTTTTCAGAAACTGCCCATAATTTGGTGTGGTCCCTGTCATCTTGATATTTGGCGGAAATAAGTGATCGGCAGATCTAGACAATTCAGGAACCATGCTGGTGAATCCAATGTCTGAAAGTAGTACACGCCTGGCTTCCACAGTTTTTTCAGATAGCCTCAGTCTACTGCCTGGCAGTGGATATTTCGAAGGAAGAGTTGTGAAGTTGTCTCCTAATCTTGCCTAACGATAATAGTTATTAATGTATCAAGGGCGTAAAATTGGCTATTATGAACAGTAGCTTGTAAGTAATAGCCCGAGCGACAGCGTGTAAGTAATAGCCCGAGCAACAGCGAGGGCTATTAACACGCCAAGGTTCATAAAAGCAAGTTACCCCCGGAAAAACACAAAACATTTTATGCACGACCGGTATATTGGAATCAACGTTACCACCCAGCCAACACATCTGTGAATGACATCTCTGAGATGTCGCGTTTAAGTAACAGTGCAAGATCACAAACGTTCCATCGCTGCGATGTTCATAAGCAAACACATCTGCCACATGATATCTCTGAGATGTCGCAATGAGGCAACACTGCGATATTACGAATGTTACATCGGTGCGATATACAGAATCAGACACATCTGCGACATGACATCTCTGGGATGTCGCGATGAGGCAATACGGCGATTTTATGAATATTCCATCGCTGTGATGTACAGAAGCAAACACATCTGCGACATGATATCTCCAAGATGTCATGATGAGGCAACAATGCGATATCACGAATGATGCATCGCTGCGACGTTTAGAAGCAAACTCATATGCAAGAATTTTTTTTCCTTTCAAAACACATCGCTTTTCCATACCAAATAACATATCGCAATGATATTGCATAAAATATATCACTATTGTATCGCAGAGTACTTATCGCAGTGACGTCTATGCGACATAGAATGCGATATCACAAGTAACTTTGTTTGCTGGTCATGGTAACTAAGTCGAATTTTTCAAATTGGAGTAGACTTTTATATTTGCTGTCAATTAATGTCATCACAGATAACTTAACCGGGTTCGATCATATAATTTTGCATCTCAGGAATATCAAGAGAACTGTAACACTAGATATTGAACCATATAAATGTTCTAAATTATACAGGAATCCTTATTACGAGTTACCTATCCGCCAGGCGGTTAAGTAATTCGCGAGCGGTAAAGCGCTACTTTACGCCCGGTCGTGCATAAAATAATATTTAAAATTAAGTGTAGTTACTCGATGGAAATCCACACCAATTTGGTTCTTGATGAACCATATTCAAAGCGGTTTGAAAACATACATCTTATTGATGAAACTGTGACGTCATCAATTAATTCAGTTGCAAATTAATCTGGGTCAAATGCTTTTGAAGAAATGGTATGAAATAGAAAGTATAAACTGACAATGCAAAGTAGGGTTAGACAAGCAAGTAGCACAAAAATAAGAGCTCCTGCCATGCGAATATATACAGGTTGTTTCAATAAAACCTGACCCCCTTTCTAGGGTGCACTTCAAAATAAGTTGGGATTGCCAGTAAAAGAATGTTGCAACAGCATCAGTTTTCAAGATACAAGGTGTTGAAAACATGTTTTTTTTACACATTTTTTACGATTTTGTAGAAACTACTGGGAACATAGACTGTAATAGAGGACGCTAGTTACACGGTTCGTACCGAGTATAGTTTCAAAGTTAACTTGAACATCAATCAATTTCACTCCAAAAAGGTACTCTTGGTAAAACCCGATACTGTGTTCAGTTTTCGGAATACTCCGATTTGAAAATGAAATGAGAAGTTATGTCCAAGCCATTAATACCATAATAAAATCAGATTATGACCAAACACAACAATGCATTCTTCATCTGCAGTTCCTACCTATTTTTTCGGCCACGTTATTTGGACAGCCTCTGTATACATATTATATATTACTAACATAATGAATGAGAAATGTTGTGAATATACTAAGAAATTATTTCTCACTTTGCTAGCCAAACTACTTTCTGACCTCCATGAAGACCCTGGAATAGCCGATATATCAGTCTGAGCCTCTGACTCCTTTCTCACAGCATTAGAATGAGTTAAAATTGGTCTACTTTTACGGCTAACTTTCGACATTGCTTCTCTAAAAGAATGTTCAGTTTATTTTTGACGACAAGATCATCTTGATTCATTTATACCTGTGTAAAAGAGGCCGATACTGTATGGGGTTAGGACAAGTATTCCTTCGTCCTCCTGTATAATCAATATCCTGAATACCACACTTTGAAATATCCGTTTCCACAATCCTTATCCTCTCCTCGAACCTATCGAAGCTCTCATCTTTTTCCAAAGATCTGTTCTCGAAACTGGAATCTTGGAATGAGTAATAACTCTTCATGCTCTTTTCTTGGTTGATAGAATTGTCGGATTTAGAATCGTAAAGCTGAGAATTTTCACGTTTGAAATCGAAAGATATATTCGCATTCTCCTGGTTTTCGTTATCAAAATTGTCATTGAACACATCGTCTTCAAGTTCTCTGTCAGAGGTTTCAAGATTTGGGTCCACTTCACTCAATGCCAGCTGTAGCAAATTCATGGTTGGTTGTGTTGCCTCTCCGGGATCGATAGACACAAGATGTTCTTTGAAGTCGGAATCCTTGGTATCATCAGTTGTGAATATCAACTCGATATCATCGACTTCTTCGTTTTGGTCCAAATCATTTTGTGGGCTCAGCGGTTCCTCGCTATGTTCCTCAAGTCTGCCATTTTCCGTGCGTTCTTTCATATTTCTATTTTCCTCACTCATATTGGTTTTCTTGTCTGAGTGCAATTTAAATCCTCTAGTTATTTTGTTCGAAAGATTCGAGAAACTAACGGTTTTGGTGAAAGAGAATTGGTTAGACGATTCTAAAGGAGATTTTATCACAGTGAGGCTCTCCAGAGATCTTGAAAGTTTTTTAGCTGCTAAGGTCTTTGTTTTCACAGTGATTCGAGCTTCTAAGTTTCCTGAAGACTTCTTTGGACTTAGTTTTGGTGATATTATTGTAACTTTCTTTGGCTTTGGCTGTGAATAAGCCTGGAATGTAGCAGGATTATTTTCAATTTCACTATGTTTTTCCGTCGGACAGAAGTCAATCTTTTGATTATTCACAATTTTACTGATACCTTCAACAAAGAAAATCGCAATTTATTTCAGTTCAAATATACAATCACTCTGATAATGGTTTCCATTTAATATAATTGACACCGCTCAAGGGATACAAAGAAACGATTTTATGCTTGGTCAGCTGGTTCTAAGAATATTCTTGAAAAATCAAAAAGTGAAGATGATGATCTTGCACTTGATAGGAAATTCCTATAATGTTCAAAAAACATCGTGTGTAACTAGGAAGGATAGGGAGAGGAGATAGGCATTGGATTTTTTTTCAGCTTTTGGAGGTTATAAGTTCATACTGCTATTGGCAATGAATTCCAAAGCATTGCCGTTCTACAGATAAACTAGTGTTGGAAAAGTGTTGTTCGACATATATCAAGGTTGACAACGAAAGAATGTGCAGACTGGGCTTGTCGGGTTTGTGGTTTGTCTGACTGGGGTTGCTAGTGATGGAATTGAAACAGAGATTTGAGATTTCTGAGGAATATTACCAGTGGAAATATCTATAGAAAAGTGAAAGGTCGCCAACTTTCCTACGATGTTCTAATGAGGTGGAAGACTTGTGAGTGTGGCATCACCAACCAGGGAATGGCTCTTCTTTGCATGGAATCTAAGAGCATCAGGGTATGTTTGGGTACCGAACCCCATATGTGAAAACAGTATTCTGAAACTAACCGTATCGGTGCTTTGAAGATCATGAGAAATTGTTCAGGTATAAAGGAGATTTTCACAAAAATCCGCGTTTTGTGAAGCAGCTTCCGCGATGGATCGGACATGATTTTCCCATGAAAGAGTATTGCTGATGGAAATACCGAGTAAAGATATAGTGGACTTGGAGGAAATGGTGCTATCAGACATTGTTATATCAGGCATACTGTATTCCGCCTTTCTAGAGAAAACGCAGGTTTGAGTTTTGGTGGCGTTGAATTCAAATAGGTTGTTGTTACCCGAGGCATAATCACTGAAATCTACAATATTATGTATATCTTTTTACCTACGGCCACTATAGAGAGTAGGCAAGAACACACGAGATACAGCCTCAGTAAGCAGCTCTTTACACACAGTAAGCACATCACACAGTTTTCGTTTATTCCGCCAGTCATGATCGCGTTATCGCCGTTAACAGCGGATGACATAACTGTCAAGAATTATAATTCAGACTGTTTGTCCAAACTTTTTTGATGTACTATTTATTTGGCAGTAGGTAAAGTATCGTACATAATGCGTGTTGTAAAGCAATTACGCAGTCATGGAATTATGCACTCGCCGCTCCGCGGATTTCATTTCACAGGAATGATTTACCACGTAAAGGCTTCTCATAGTATCTAAATTGACTTCATTTCTTCTTGAAAATTCTGAAGAACCAATAACAAGCCGTTATTTCAATTCAAGTGAAATGATATTGTCACAAATAGGGTTATTTTTCATTCATTCATTCAAATTCATACAAGGTTCGAAGTCATTGAACGGTCGCGTCTTTGTTTATTAATTCCAAAATTTTCGAATCGTGAACGAACTCTTTTTTCCATAGTTGAACATAAACACAGGCGTGACATTGACTTCAACGAACCTGGACTATCGACCTGATTTCCTTACTGTCACGTTTCCGAAAATAAAGACAACTATTTAAAAGACGTAAGGAAACGGGTTCGACAGTTCGACTACCGGTTCGACTGCGAGTTGGACACTGCCAGTTCTAGTTCTAGTCCTGTTTTTATTATAATAGCTAGGGAAGTCTAAGTTCTACCGATTGTAAGTTTGTAAAGTTGCCACTGTGCCCGAATCTTCGGAGTTCGGGCAGAACAGAAGATGCCCTTCCTCTAAGGTCCCAGCAATATTAGCTTTCAATGTACATATAGGGTAAGTTGAGGTTTTTATTAATAATTGTTATTCATTTTATGCCAAGAATAAATGTGTGTGTATGTTTTGTTTGAAAACCTTTTTGAGTATTATTTACTATCACTTTTAAAGTTCATTCTCTGATGGATCTAGAACACAACTTAGGCAACCCCCGTCTACAGTTTGTGACAGGGTGGAGGGAGTTTATTACAGAAGTTCAAAAAGTTTTGACTACTTTGTAGGAAATTTCAGTATCCACAAATCAATATGATTACACTTTTTAGTAGCGTTTACTGACGTTTGAAATTTTACTGCCATAGTAGTTATTACCCAAAAACGCTGATTGCGTATTAATTATGTTCAGTTGAAAATTTTTTTCATGTAATTTTAACCTATCATATCTACGTATTTGTGACCAAGTGCCCCGAAAAATTTTCACTGTTGAAAAATCGAGTCACTATGGTAATGAAATAGTTTGACGTTAACTCAATTAAACTTTCAAAATGTCAGTCACTTCGAGTAGATATGGGAACATCGAAAATGAGTCGATAGATATAATTATGAGTGAAAATACGCCAAAAAATACATTAAGTAAAAAGTACAAGTGGAAAATGTTCACAGTTTTGTGCCGTAAGAAAATATGACTTAACGGAACAGAGTTTATAGAGGCCACCATCAAAACTATTTGGAATGTTACTGGTAAACTTTTACAAAAAAATACTATAATGAGTAGAAAATCATCATAGATCCCTTCAAGAGCGTGATTTTTAAACAAGCACGAGATGCCCGTGATGCACTCCGAAAAAAAAACTACAAGCAGACCCTTCGAAAAGAAAGTTCTATGGCGCTAAGTTCAATCGAACTGAATAAAATCATCAGTTTGTGGAACGAAAACACGCCCGATGGTCTCCAAAAAAAAAATTTATAACATTGCAGCCGTGGAACTCGCGTGGAGAAGTAAAGAAGCTGTATCCTGTTTGATCGATTTTTTTACGTTGAAAAAAATAATGATGGTACGCCAACCAACCGTGTGGAATACAATCCAATCTTCACAAAAACATGCCAAGGTGGATCAAGAAACTGTGCAAGTAGCAAATGGTTTTTTCAGAATAAGGATGACAACGTAAATCCTGTCAGAATATTTTTAAAATTATTGTCAGATCGAGGCACAAATATAACGACACGCAGTACGGAGAATTCGGAAGAGAATCAGAGACAGTATCACCACTTGTTAATCTGTGGTATCACACACATACTGTGCAGATACGAGGCATTGGACCGCAAAAGACAGATGATTTTTGAGGAACCAGTTGGTGAACCAGAAGTATCCAACTCACATCCAGTGAAGGACTTGTACAAACTTGCACAAGTAGAGAGTAGTAGGTACAATGAAGATAACTAGGCGTTTCATGTAGTAGATCACAGGATCTTATTCAAAACATTGGGAAAAAATGGGAATACGTGGAAATTTACACACTTTTGAAAACATTTCTATATAATCGGGAACAACATGTTTGCATAAACAGCATTAAAAGTGAAGTCATGAGTACACTTTGTGGCGTGCCGCAGGGGTCTGTATTAGGACCTCCACTGTATTCATTATATGTTAGGCGCCTAGAAAAAGTAGAACTACTTGGGAGATACTTTACTTTACTTCTACTGTAACGAAACTCACGAAAATTTAGGGAAAAGAATAAATTCTGAGCTCAATTTGTATGACAATTAGATAACAAAAAACAAACTCAAAATTAACACAAAAAAACGATCTATATGTTATTTATGCAAAGAAATACGAACTTCCAGGAGATAGACATGAATATTGGAGGAGAGGAGATAAAAAGAGTTGAAAATACCAAATATCTTGGCTTAGTTGTAGACGACAAAATGAATTGGAGTAAATATATTGACCAGATTGAAAATAAAGTAGTACCGATGATCAGAGAGATCTCTCGATATAGAGACTATCTTGATCACAAACTATATAACCAAATCTATAATGCATAGGTACTTTTTATCTATTGTGAGATACTTGATTCCCTTTGCTTGTGGACGTACACTATTTGAGAGAGCAGAAAAACTAAAATAAAATTGTAACAGGTTTATAAGTAAACTGGCATTTTACCAATCTCAGAAATATTGAAAATACAACAGAGTAAACGATTCATATATACATGGAGCCCATGTACATCACACAAATATTCCTCTCAATAAATGTATCAAAACTTTCAATTTATTGTCTACCAGTGGCATTGAGGGGAGCGAACATAATAAAAATATTTAAAACTGAATTGTCAAAGAATCTCTAACAATAACATCACTGTATAAAGATCAGATTAGGATAGTAAGAATGAAATGAATGTGTGTAGGATGAGAAGTTCCAAGACCAGCATCAGGTACTGATTTGGAATTATTTCTCAAATAGCGTCAAAAACAGTTATGTACTGAATTAACAATAATTAAGATCAGATTGTGAACTATTTGAATAAATCCTATGTGTCATCAGAGACATCAGTCAGAGGAGCATACAAATTGGTTGGAGTGCTTAGTTGGCAAACCCTGGCTACAGTCAGAGAACTTCCACAGAAGATTCAGGAGAAAGTTGAAACTGATTTAATCTCCTAAAGATGCTAACAGAGTGAAACAAGTGTACAGCCTTTTAAAAATTCAATTTGGTCAGTGTTAAAACTGAGGACAAAATAGTGTAGTGTGTTTCCATTTGGTTTATGCAATTTATGCTTGTGCTACAAACCACTCAGTAGTGTTATTGCACATTTTGTTACTCTAATATTGTGAAAATACGCCCCTTTTGATTACAATTTTCTGGCAAATGGTTAGTTGCACCATAGATTGTTGCACCAAAAAATGCAAGAGACTGAATTCTCAGATTTTTTTATTTGTCATCTCTCTTTTTGAACATAAAGTAAAAGGGGCTTATAAAAGTGTGGACCCCCCTCCAACACCCCTCAAACTCTTGCAAAAACTGGGTTCACATAATTTTTGGAGCAAAAAAATGATGGTGCCTAAAAAACAGGGGCATGCAATTCTCCAGAATTTCAAAAAATACTCCACAAGCTGTGGTTCTGATAGACATAGATAATTTGCTACTATAGCTTATACAGACTATAGCAAAACATCACTAATGTTCAAATGCATTGTTTTTGAACTTTGAATGGACTAAGTTGATACTAAGGTTGATATACTTGACTTCAAGATACAGAAACTAGTTTTTTTTCTCCTAATGAAGAGTAACAAAACATGATGGGGGTAATGAATTTAGCAATTAAATTATACCAAAGGAATCATCATATGTGCTAGTTCAACATGAACCTATAGCAGTAATTGATTCTGTAGTTCATTCATAATAATTTACTTCTTAAAAAGTCTCAGTTTGATTTCTGATATTCAAGAAATTATCTTATTCCATTGTTTATTCAAATAAAAGCTGGATTAATTGGTAAATATTCATTATCCCAGTCATTATCCAAAGAAGATGAAAAGATTAACTTAGACTAGTAGAACTGCAGTAAAGCCCCAAAAGATCTGACAACAGGAAACTGCTTTTGCCACACTGTTAAGAAATTGATACATTATCAATCAACAGACTCAAAATGAGTGTAAGCATGCTTGTTGTTAAAAATTATCATCTATCTATTGTATCTACACCAATTGTATAGATAGTATAGGTACCTATAATGTGAGTTTGAAATACATGAAGGAACAGAGTAGTTTTGAGTATTGTTTTGAGTATATTGTGGTGATATATTGTTTTATCAAAAAAATAGTATTGCAAGTTTCAATCACTATATATAAAAATAATATAAATCCTAGAAATCATCCATACTCAAAATAAAATAGCTGAACTCTCTACTTAGCCCTCTTTCACAATCAGATAGGTGTAGCCTTACTTTCATCTTCTGTAGTTGGTATATATTTGGTTCCACTTGCTTTATCAATTTTCATCAATCCATCAGCATCCAATAGTTTTCTCCTCAATACATGATTTTCAATTGATAAAGCTTGAAGAGCTTGCTGGACAGCTTCAATAGGCCAGGATTTACTTCTGAGTTCTGAGATTACAGTTTTGCTCTCTTCTAAAGCAGCTCTCAAGGCTACAACTGTCTGATGTAGGGCTCGAACAGTCTCTAAACCAAGTTCCTTTCCATTTTGCCCTTCATTGCATTCCATTTTAACAAAACTTTATCATTCTCATCCATGCTGATTTGATTTTTGATTCCTAGCTGTAAGTTGCAATTGTTTTACACATTTGTTTCAAATCAAAACCATCGGGACTGAGCGCAGCTAGCGTCTGTCTGAAAGATTCAAAATAAGAAATATTGAGAAACGGAAATATGAAATATGCCCAATACCACCATTTTTCATCATTGACTTTTGATTTCATTATACCAGTATAATCAGCTTGTTTAATACAGCAACTCCTGGCAACCAGGTAAACAAGTTGATCTCATTTAGTGCTCATTTACATTTCATCACCATTTCATATAAAACATAATCAGTGAAATCAGTAACAAGATATTTGAAAACAATGTTCTCATCTGGGATTGGATTTTCAGAGTATTTTGAACCGAAATCCTATCTCCCCGGCCCGGGAATAACATAATCAAAGAAATACGTTTCAACTTTCCATTTCTGACAATTCTGACGTTTCTGTTATTATTGCTGAAATCATGTTTTCCTTCCGTGTGTCGTTGACGTCCTCCTGATACTGACGTCCCCTGACCTAATTATTAGATTATCGACTTTTTGGTACGTAATTATTTGTAACTCACTGCTCGCTGAGGCTGAGACGCTGATAGCGAGACACATGCAGTAAAACAATAAGAACCTATGAACATAAAAGTATTGTTGTGAACTGTTACATAAAAAATTACTCTTGAAAAATACAATAGCAATGTGGGGTGTTACTTTATAACGTGCCACCTTCTACATATTCAGTTACCGAAAGAAAGAAAGTTTTCTTAAGATGTAAATTCAAGATATTCTTTAACCTAAAGCACAATGGTCCCGAGGAATTAGCTGATTTCTCCACAGCATTTGCAGATGAATTGTAAAATTTCTTTTCATGAACCGTTTACAATGATTCCTGAGATTTTGAAAACTAACTTTTTCGTACATTCGTCACAACATTTTGATTCCATTTCTAAAGCGTGAAGGGTTAGATATGGAAATCAATTGAACTGTAAAAGAGTACCAAATATCTATTTTGTAAACAGTTCGATTTCAACCGACTATTCTCCTGATACATGATTCGGCGCCAATTAAGAACAAGCGGTCTAGCTACTAGCTAGACCAGTGAATCTTCAAACATCGAGGTCAAGTGACGTCACCCACAACCTTGTGTTTATATTGTTGAACAAGTCTGTGGTTTCACCGGGCACATATGTTCAGTATGAAGTCTGACCACGATGTAGTCTGACCACCAGTCTGACCAACTAGCTGTTTGGGAATATCGGTCACGTTTCAAACCTGTCCACAAAGCTACCACGTCAACTTCTGGATGGGAGTCGAGTCAACGATTGACCATTCTGGTATCACCACTGTCGTCAGATGGATGACTTGACACAGCCTGAGTGGTTTGTGTATCAAGGGTGTATCTGACTTCCACGGTGGTGACTGAGGTTCAATCCCTGCGAGGCGTCATTTTTTTTCACTCAATTAATTTTTCAAATATATACTTTTCAGGAAAAAGGGTAATTTAACAAGCGTCTAGCTAGACGAGCGAATCATTTGAATCTCAAGGTTATCAGAAGGTTATTCGTGTTTATAAGTCATATGAGGTAATATGTGGAAGGAAAATATCTCCTGTGAGAAAAAGGAAAGCACTTTCAACCTAACTTGTCCTTAATGAACCTCTATCCTGAAAATTATGTTTTTGAAAAAAATTGAGTGAAAAAAATTTAAAAAAATTGACGCCTAGCAGGGATTGAACCCCAGTCACCAACGTCGAAGTCAGATACACAGATCACTGAGCTATCGCTTTACTCGTAGTAACGCAGATTCGCTGGTCTACGTAGACACTTCTGTTCAAGTATGTTCATGAGAATATGGTTGCCATAGTTACCTTGGTCAAAAACTGAAGACACTTATAACGATCTTGTTCATGGAAAATACGTAAGAGGCGCTGATATCGTCATATTTCTACAGTTTCTAATGGACATCGGACCAAATAACAACGGCACGACAAAAAATACAGAAATGGTGTAAGTACGTTAATTTTTGATAGTGTTCAATGAAATTCTGATAATTCAGCAGGCTTCAGCTTATGCACATAGTAAAAACTTCAATAAAATATCCTCACTGTTCACATGGAAAATTAAAAAAAGTTACAGTGACTGCCACATTCAGTTGAATTTCAGGCAGGTGTAAATCTACTAGAAACCACATTTTTCATTAGTGATTTTACCACCACTTCTCCACACAGCATAATATGGTATATGTAGCACTAGAGTTCCTAAATGTACTTGACACTGCTGATTTTGACGCAGTGTCAAGTACATTTAGGAACTCTATGTAGCACCAATTCATATTAATTTTCTTAATATTAATATGGTTTTGTCAAACAGTTTGAGCTTCTTCCGCGAAAAGTGAGTGTGGTTTGACTGGTTTACGTTCAATACAGACTTTCTAACTTTATGACCTTGACATCACGCACTTTCTGAATATACAGCCAATGAGATGAGAATACGCTGAAGACGAAAAGCGAAAATACACCATGTGAACACGCCATCACACATCACATACAGCGCGTCACTTGCGTCTGCGGAATCTGCGTCATAAAATGGAATTGATGATTCTAGAACACGTGATTTTGACATGGTTCCTTGAGGGGCACACAAACTATCTGTTAGGTTGCCTTTGATGAGCATTGCCCTGGCCGTCCCTGCCACATCCACAATATAATAACAGTTTCACCAAACAAAATTATGAAATTCTTTCTGGTTCCAACTCGGATTCCAAGGAAAACAATCCCACCAATTCTAGTTTTATATCACAAATCTTGACAAACTACAATGTTTGCCCCTCAGCAACCTGTCAAATGACGTAATTCTGGAATGATTAATAGTGATTGGGACTTCGCGTAATCCCGTGTCAGTCATATTATTAATCTTGCCGGATTGTGCTGATGTTCTTTTGTTATTTAGCTTGAGGAACAAAATACTTCAATGATCTTGAACTAATGGAATAACCCAAAAAGAAGAAAAAAGCATTTTCATGAATTGAAAAGAGACTATTCTTCAAAACAACACTATCTAACTCGAAGAAAACAAACCTTAACTCAAACCATCTAACCTTAATCGGCCTAAATGAACCTTCTTGCTGAAAATTATATTTTTCGGAACATCACTTGAGGAAACAGAATTAACAAAAAGTCGACCACATATTGTGTTTTAATGCTAAGCTATGTGCCATCTGACGGTATATATCACGTGATCATCAAGTGTGATTATTTGGTAGTAGTATTGAAGTTTATAATAATTGTTCATTCAATTATTTGACTGATTATTATATGATTATTTGTTTGTTACAACCGAATATGGTAGAAACATATCTTCCGAGTCGTTCTGGCAAAATTAATATTTTGACATATCACACTTGGCGTCAAAAACATATAATTTTTGACAGAATGACAGCGCGAGGCCAATGACGGCTAACCCGTCAGACAGTCTAGATATTTACCCGTCATTGGCAGTCTATTACGCTCCGATTTAAATCTGTTACTTTTTGCAAACGAAATCTAGTACGAAAAATTTGGAGACATGAACAACCCTGACTCCCCTCACCCCTCCCTGCTGGCTGCCGAGCCTTGATTTCAGTTTTCATATTTTTATTAAATAATGATATAATTATTTTTTCATTATTGATTTATTTTTGATATCTGAAATTGTTGAAATGAGTAGTAGACACAATGACAGCAGTTCAAATTACGGTATGTAGTGTGAAATTGTTGATTCCATTACTAAATATATACCTACCTACCTCTTTTCTTAGAACATTGTTAAATCACAGAATTTTCTAATCAAATGCTTTAAATATGTCAGTGTTTAATAGGTTCACACAAAATAAAGAAAGAACGGTCGAGGTCTCGATCACCTAGGAGTAAAGAGGATAAAAATGTCAAAAAGGTTATAAAGGATGAACCTAAAGATACTGGTCAGGCAGATAAAAATATTGGTCTAGCTGCTAAAAACAGACTCAAAGGAATGAGTATCCAAATGAAGCTGAGTTCTTTGAAAAAAGAAGTGTCTAAACCGAAACTTAGTGTTGCAGCTGCATTCAATCAAGACAGTGATAGTGAACCTGAAGAGATGCCTCCACAAGCTAAAATGAGAATGAGAAACATTGGAAGGTATTCAATTATTTTATTTATAATACACATCTTGAGGAGTATCTAGTCCAGGAATAACTGTTATTCTGGATACTGCACTATGTATACTTAGGAATAATCAGTGGAATTTGATGTTCCAATAAGTTAAATAGGTATATATTTGTTTTTTTGAGCAAATCAGAAGAAATACCATTATCATCACTTATGGTCAGATTTTTACAGAAGATTGATGCTCATTTAGGTAAATAGTATTAGGCCATGAGAAAAAAACAAGGGAATTATAGGTACTAGTGGGTATTGGTATTCAATGATTTTCCCAGTTATAGTTCAACAATGATCTCACATATGTAAATTTATAACAAAAAATAATCATTTTACAGGGAAACCCCAACATCTTCTGGACCCAATTCATTTGGGAAAACAAAACATGGTTTTTCAGATGCTCAAAAACTGTTTGAGAAGTCCTTGAAAGAAGCAATGGATAGTGCATTAGCAGATGATTAAAAATATAAGTGAATTTTGACTATTTGTGTTCTCATTCTTACCTGAAGTGGTATATATTGACTATTCCACAAAAATCAAATTTTCCCATTAGTGATTGAATATTCTAGGTATGATCATTATGGCTTAGGTTTTAGTGATTTGAATAAATCATTGATAATTTCTCCTTGAATTTCTCCAATTGTTTAATCCCCAACAATAATAGCAAAAAATTTAATTCTGTCAAACAGTATTCTATCTGTATTTGACTAGATGGGTACCTATCAGTGGTAGAGAATAATTGACAGGAAGTTATGAATGATGAAAAATGTAGAATAGTTGGAAAAAATATAATAATACATGCCTTGCATTCTTTTTTCAAGATTGTTGCATGAACAGTTCATATTACACAACATTTAAATAAAAACATTTAGCAGTGTATACCAAACTATAAAAATAAGGAAATATACCATCATATCTTGTGTTAACCTGAACATAAAATTTATAAACTGTTGACCAGAATGTAAATACACAGGATCTAAAAAACTTAGCAAGTTACTGAGTGCTAGTATTGATGACAAAAAAGTTGGAGTTTCATTATAATTTGATCCAAAATAAAGATATAAAATTTCAAATGCAATCAATGGTATGAAAATCTTGTTAAGGTGTAAATATTCCACATCAACTATTAATATATTGCAAATTATCAGAAGTAAATTATAAATGACAGAAATTATAACTACATAATAATATCTTGGATATCCATTCCATCCTATCTGATTCAAAGCAGTCTTATTAGAACTTGTCAAGAGTTCACCATTATGAACATTTTCAGAATATCTATTGGTACTTGATGTTGATGGAGCAGAATAATTAGAGTGTGACAAATTTATTTGGTTAATAAATGCTGAATCAGCATTCTCTTCAACTTGTAGATGATGAAAGACATCTGTAACATTTTAATTCACAGAGTGACATGGAATGAACATTTTTATGAATTATTACTCACCAATCTCTGACTTGGTAGATCTCTCTTCTACGCCGGTTATCTTCTTCAATCTACTGTCAATATTCTCCAAAATTTTTTTCCTTCGGGCTTCTCGTCTTTCCGCCAAATTCATTTTGTTTGTTTTCTTGAAGATGATTCATTGAAAAACTGTCAATGCTGTCATGTCATGACATCATAGTTGCGTTTTATTTGTTCCATTCTGGTAACGGTGGTGAAAACAGAATTACGTTTACAAATAAAACGAGAAACTTCATGACCTGGGATGAGATGAAAGAGGTTATATTTATGCATTGGGGCTCCGAATAGTTTCAAAATCATGATACCAGAATTTGAAACTCAAGAAAATGAATCAACGCATATTTGGATCAGTGATTGTGGTGATTGGAGAAAGTTCTCTGAGATCGAGAGAATCCATTTCATCTGGGAATCTGAGAATGAAGATATGAAACCTTTCTTACTTGAAAGAATCAAACGTGATCTTGTGAACCTCACTATAAAAATGTATTTCAAATGTCTTCTCTCAGAAAGTTTCGTTTTTCGTCAATCAAATTTTATATTTTGACAACTGTCAACAGTCATTCCACGTCATTCCTTGTAGTGAGACGGAATGAAAAGTAGCAACCGGAATCGGAAAAGTCACAAATAAAACGATACTTTAAAGTGATTCCGATGTTGTTTACATTCAGTTCATTGTTGCGATGGCGGAATCGGATAAATAGAACGCAACTAGAGATGTCAATGTCATGTTAATCCAATTGTCAATCTTATATATATAGTTCCATTGGTAAAACTCATTACAACTGGCTCGCACTGAGTGCATATTTTGTACTCCATTGGTATATAAACCAGAGATAAGTCTGGTAACTTATCTCTGTATAAACATCTCATCCATTGGTAAAACTGGTGTCGGGTTTTGAATTCCATTGGAAAACTGGTTCACATAGTTTAGAGCTCAGTGCAACAATTCTCGCACAAGCTCTAATAGGTCGTGCGAGGCTAATGCACTTTTTAAAATAGCGGAAACATTGAATATGAATAGTTTGAAAACCAGATTGTTAGTAGCAATCTGATCATCATCAAATAAAAATGCAGGATGCGGACAAGTTATAAACAAAGACACACCAATTTATCCGATTTAACCTCCAATAATAATTTTATTATAATATCATTTCGTATTCCATCGGGAATGCACCCCAGTTCATATTTCGGAGAGAACTAACGTAATGCGGGTATAAAACTGGTGCAAAACCTGTGCACCACGAGGTTTACGAATGGAATTCGCTATTAGGAATCTAGATTCGTGATCTAGATACGTCATGATTCTGCTGCACGATGTATAAGGTGTGGCTTCAGTGATCCGTCATTACTTTTAGTCTTGTCTTATCAATAATAAATTAATAATATCATTTTTTACATCATGAAATGCCTGTTATTTAGGTAATTAGCCAGATTAACGAGGAACTACAGAAGAGACAACTTGACGAATTTCACCAGCTGGTCAATGGTTCTACTCTTCTACTGAAAGTGCTGACCAGTTGAACTGACTTGACTCCCATCCAGAAGTTGACGTGGTAACTGTGTGGGCAGGTTTGAAACGTGACCGATATTCCCAAACAGCTGATTGGTCAGACTGATGGTTAAACTTCATACTGACCACAGACTTGACACAGTCATAGCATTGGTCATAGCATGTATCGATCGTTTGCCGCCGTGTCACGTATATGGCTATATTCCGAATTCAACTGACAGTACTGAATCTGCTGATTTTCCATTCCGAAATCAAAAAATTCACTGGAAGTGACAGATGATTGTCAGCAGACATACTATTCATTCCAAATATTTCGACTCAACATTCTGCTGGAATTGCTGAGTATCAAAAGGTAGTGTGGCTTCAGTGAACTGTCATATTTTAGAGGGGGAAGGAATGTAACATTCATTTCCGTTGTTAATGAAATGATTCTCAATATCAGAAAATACCTGGAGTATGAAGTAGTAGAGCAGGTAAGGAAAGGAGCACCATTGGCTAAATAAACTAAATAAACCTGGAATGTCTCCTAAAATTCATCATTATTAAGGCATATTGCGATTTTCATGAATCTCAATTCTCAATCTGGTGCATCATGTGAAATTTATGGCAACAAAATGTCCAAGTATTCTTCATCACTCGAGCTTGAATCGCCATCGTCAACAATCGTAGAAACTATAGAGGATACAAAAATCTATTTCTCTTCCATGTTAAATATTAAATTTCCAAAATTTATAACAAGTAGGAGGCTAAACATCTAGTTCAGATAAACGAGATACTACTACTGATGAAAACCATGAAAACGTGTCCCGAATTACAGTAGTAAATTTTTGATTTCATATTTCGGAACACAGATTTTCAGCAGAGTCAGTGGATCAACTGACAGTACTGACCAGTTGAATTCGGAATATAGCCTATGATAAACAATTTTGAAACTATGAAGTGTCAAAGTCGAACTGTCATTCGTCAAATGTCGATTGCCAAAAAATTGAAATTTTGATTTCTGCTTGTAATCGTAAAGTGAGTAAAAGAATACAATAAATAGTCTTTGAAAATCATAATCAATTTTCAAGTCGGTAGTTTTGTTACTAGAGCTAATTGTGAGATAAAATAATATAGATTTAAAAAATGCCTGACCACTTAGGAGACGATATGAGAAAAACTAAAGACAATAAAGAAGAACCAGAAAAAGAAATAAAATGTAAGTATTTTTCTGTAGTTGATGCTGTTCTCCAACCCTATGTAAATTTTCTGTTGCAGCTTTAGATGAAGGTGATATTGCACTTCTGAAGACATATGTAAGTATAATTGCCTATCTCCCTGCCTACATTGTTTTTTCACCTTCCTCTATAATTTGTTTTTCAGGGCCAAGGGCAGTACACGAAAACCATCAAAACCTGTGAAGAAGATATTCAGACTATCATAAAACGGGTTAATGAACTAACTGGCATTAAAGAATCTGACACAGGTCTAGCTCCCCCTGCGCTCTGGGATTTGGCAGCAGACAAGCAAACTTTACAAAATGAACAACCCTTGCAAGTTGCACGCTGTACTAAGATCATCAATGCTGATACTGATGATCCTAAATATATCATTAATGTTAAGCAGTTTGCTAAATTTGTTGTAGATCTAGCTGATTCAGTTGCCCCTACAGATATAGAAGAAGGAATGAGAGTAGGGTGAGAACATTTTTATGTGCACTAAAAATGTTATTCTGTTTTTATCTTTGTTGTTGTCTAAATCTCCCACCATCTGAGTTCAGATTAAAGGGAAATTTGCTTCTCAATTTTGAATAAATTCCATAGAAATAATGTTCCCATCTTGTTTGGATAATGACAAGAAAATGATTTAAGGAAATAATTCAATTTAATTCCTCCAATTTGCTTTGTGTTTGTTTATTCAGTCACATAACTGTTGACACCATGTATTTTCATTACAGAGTGGATAGGAATAAGTATCAAATCCATATTCCACTCCCTCCAAAGATTGATCCTACTGTAACTATGATGCAAGTTGAAGAGAAACCTGATGTTACTTACAGTGATGTTGGTGGTTGTAAAGAACAGATAGAGAAATTGAGAGAGGTTGTGGAAACCCCATTATTGCATGTGAGTAGTATTTTTTTATGTATGATGTGATGTTTTTCTGAAAAGCATATGTTAAGAAATAAATCTTTGATGTTTTGTCCAACAATCTATCAATAGGCAAGAACACAAATGTGTGAACTCAATTTGAATGTGCATATAACTGAAATTGAGTTGTAATGCAACATGGATGCATCAAAGTGCTGATTGAATATGCTGTAATAACTACTTGAAAAAACACCATTTGAGTACCCTACAATATCCTGGAACATTCAAACAATTTGGTAACATCAAAATCCCTTCTCCTGTGTAGCCAACATTTTTATTTTGAAGTAATATCAAATAAATATTTCTCAGTTTTGTAATCAATCCAACTATGAACATTGATGTAGTTTATGTCACCAATTGAAAGTTTAACCTCCAGTAGCAATTCTACAAGTATATAGTTAAAATGAGAGGGTAATCATAGCCCAATAACTTGTACACCAACCATTCCATGGGGATAAACTTTCCAAACTTCCTTGTACTTCCTCAAACTTTCCCAAACGTCCTCTAACTTCCCTGCACCTCTCAAACTTCATGCAACTTCCCTACATTCCCCAAACTTCCCAAAACTTCCTCAAAGTACCTAAATGTCCTCTGACTTCCCCAAGTTAGACTATTGAGATTATGCTCCAAAATTATGTACACCTATTGCCAGTTTCGGCATAAAATGCTAGTTTATTGCCCTAATGCAGAAATATTTCCATTGCCCAACAATGCCTAAATGCCAAAAAATATTATCAATGCCTGATGACTAGATTACCTAATAGTTTTTTATGCCTGTCAACCATTCTAGACATATCTGTAATACATTGAAATTGGCAAAAAGTAGCTAGAATAGCCCAATCTATGCTCAAACATAAACTACTGATAGCAGATATAAGTATTCCACAATTTCCATATTATTCAAAATGTTTCCTTGCAATTTTTTTTTCAGAAATACAAATAGGCATATGAATTCTTTTCAAATACTACTTTGAAATATAATTTTATAATTGCATTGCCTATCTTCTTATTATATTGAGGCAGGGCTCCAGACAAGGTCATCAAAGCTGGTGTATGTATACTCATCTTCATAGGACATGGTGGTATCAGCTCTCTAAATTACCACTGCTTTGGAATTGTTTGCCAATGGAAGTATTTCCAAGAACTTATAACCTCCAAAGGTTAAAAAAATTCCAACACATACCTCCTTCCCCTATCCTCCCTAGGTATGCATGATATTCTTGGAACATCATAGGAAACTCCTTTCATGCTCCAAGTGATTGAAAAAAATCATGACATATTCTCAGAAGACTAGTGTAAATTAGAATTTGGATGATAATTTCAATTTTTCTCATATGTCTTCATTTTGATGCTGAATTTATACTTATGTGAGCATTATTTTTTCGATTTCTTGAGAGTTATTATTTCTGTTTGAATTTTATTGTTCATTGTAGACAGCTCAATTGAGATCATTTAATCCATTTATGATATTTTGATTTCCATAGCGTTTGGAAAACTCCGAGGAAATGTCACTCAGTGTAATTCAAGTTTTAGCTTTAGGGCTCTAAGTACACTGGTTTCACGAGATTGCTTTTTCGGCAAAGTTTAAGTATATATCAAAGGGAACATCTATCGACTAACAAAGTAACTATTCCATTTGAGTGTTGTGTTATGTCACTTTCAATAAAGGTAATGGGAGTTGAGGTATTTCGGAAACGATATATTTGAAATGTAAATAAAAACAAAACATAGGTAACTCACTTCAATGAATGATTGGACAGAAATAAAGAATAGGTGCCCCTCTCCATTTTGTTTCACTGTTACGTCATTCAGTGCAGTTTATTCTCGACAATTTCCGACATATTGCCGATCTATTGCCGAATATTTCATAAATATTGCCGTCTATTGCCTAACAATTCCGACATAATCCCGCCTATTTTTGCATTTCTTCTTCAATGCCGACTATTGCCATTTAGTGCCGATTATTTTCGAATAATGCCGATAATGCCTATGAATTGTCATTCATTTCCGAACATTTTGTACACCTATTGCCGCCGTGTCCTCCCCCTCGACTTGAACTTATTATGCAATTATAAGGGGACGGTGATTGTATATGGCTTTATAAAGAATAAACATAGTTATTTATTATACAAGGGAAAAAAGTAGTAGATCTTAGCTCCATGTTGTGTTGTCTCCCGACGCGTAGTCGATGGGAATCGAACCCACGACCGGAAAGCGAATGCGGATTAGAATATAGACACTCTGTCCGCACGGCTACCTGGCCCCCCAGTAATAATATCCACTAGGATATAGGCGCTAGTGAAACTCAAAACAAAAATGGCCGATTTGCCTATACTCTCGGTATCTGCTTGAGTTCATCTATCTGCAAGTTGCTGAACTATCTAGGGATATCCTTCCTGAAGCTGGGAAATCACTAACTTTGATATACTGACTTTTGAATAATTCGCGATAGAAAATAACACGTCGCCCCATCTGACGGCAACAAATGGAAAACTTCTGAGCGGTTTGTTTTGATGATATGACCAATAAGCGCAAACAAAAAACAAATGTGAACCAATGAAACCAAAGTAAACATGCCGCTATGACAGCTTTCAAGAACTCCGATATTTTTATCAATACTACCATGTAATTTGCTTGTGCATCTGTGACCTGCCATCGGTACTTTGTATTTTTGCCTACGCCCACTATTGAAAGTAGGCAAGAACACACGAGATACAGCCTCAGTAAGTAGCTCTTTACGCACAGTAAGCACATCGCACAGTATTCGTTTATTCCGCCAGTATAGGTATGTCATGATCGCGTAATCGCCGTCAACAACAGATGACATAACTGTCAAGAATTATGATTCAGACTGTTTGTCCAAACTTTTTTGTTGTACTATATGGCAGTAGGTAAAGTATAGTACGTAATGCGTGTTGTGAAGCAATTACGCACTCATGGCATTCACTTTTCCATTCGTGCGTAATTATGCTTCTTACAACACATATTACGTGTTATACTATTATATGGCCAATAAAGACTACTACTACTACTACTATCCGCTACTCTCCTTCAATCACCAATATCATTAAACACCGCACAAATTTGATATATAATATTGTCTTCATATCTTTTATGAATGTCATATCAATTCAAATATTATTATTTCTAATATACGATTTTGTCACAATATTGACAATTCATTTCCAATTTAAGGTTGTTTGGTCTCAAATTGAATGAGTTTATACTTATTTTGATTGTGTAATCAACTTGAATATGTTTATCCCCAATTTGAAACTTTATTCTGAATTAGAAAATGATTATTCCCAATTTGATTGTGTTTATTCTCATTTTGAATTTGTTTAACAACTTGGATGTGTTTTTTATTCCAAGTTCAAATTGATAAGTCTCAATTTGAACTTGAAAAGGTGTAGTAGTTCATGAAATGACGTAAACTATCTTGGTAGAAAAAATACACTTTACGCATTGAAAAGGAGTAACTAGTGGTAGGTTACGAAGGCCTGGAAGGGACACATAAAATAAAAAAATAAAAACTCTTCAAAATTCTGAGTTATAACTCGAAATTTTAAAATTCCGAGTTATAACTCGGAATTTTAGATCAAAATTCCGACTTATATCTCGGAATTTTAAAATTCCGTGTTATAACTCGGAATATTGGATGTAAAATTCCGAGTTATAACTCGGAATTTTAAAATTCCGTGTTATAATTCAGAATATTGGATGTAAAATTCCGACTTATATCTCGGAATTTTAAAATTCCGAGTTATAAGTCGAAATTTTGATGTAAAATTCCGAGTTATAATTCACGAAAATTTCAAATGTTGGGCTATGAATTGAGAGATATGTTTAACAAGGAGAAGTTTGTTCTTCCGTGTGACTCGTTTCATAAAGTATATCTATTAAAACTCTACACACGCTTGATAATTTATTATGCCATAAAATTTGCGAATCAAAATTCCAAAATCATCACGAGACAAGGGGAAAAAACTCACAGAAAAATTGGTATTTGGAAACATGAAGGAATAAGGCGAGTATCGTCAAGTGAAATATTACATGGTTTTTATAAATGATTGAACCATCGTAGTAGTTTTTGAAATGTTCCCTTCACATGCCACTTTTCACTTATGGAGAATCTAACATTTGTATTCCATATCTGACAATCATTGCTGTCAGATATTTAGATTTCCTAGAGATTTTCGATAGATGAAAGGTGGCACATGACATTTCAACTACCACTACGATGTCACAATCATTCATAGTAGCCCTGTACTCAATATGTATGTAAATAAACATTTATGATGAATATAGTTTTGTTTTTTCTTTTTCCCGTTCAGGAATTCATTTCCAAAAATATCCACACGAATTCATGCTCAACTGCTTGACTCGCTTTTCATAGTTTATTAATGAACGAATTGACATTGCATCCAAATAGGGGCTGTTATTAAATATTCATGAAGGCAAAACGTAAACCTGAATCAAAATCATATTGGTCATTCATGATTAATAGTTTTTATTCCACTCATCTATTCTACTTCCCGTGCTTTAAGTACGCCTATGCTCACTCAATTCAGCGAATTCATACAGAACGCTGGCGGTCTAACGTTAGCGAAATCTATTAGGCGGAAGCTCAACTGCCCGCCAAGCACACCAATAGACGTGTCAAGGTCATCCGCCGGCATTTCTCAACATCAAAGGAATTTCGAAGCTTGCACCTTCTTGTATAATGTCTCCGCTGATGGAACCATAGGTTAAATAACTTTTCTTCGCCTTTCAGCCCGAGAAGTTCGTCAAGCTGGGCATCGAGCCGCCCAAGGGCGTGCTGCTGTTTGGCCCGCCCGGCACCGGCAAGACGCTGTGCGCGCGCGCCGTCGCCAACCGCACCGACGCCTGCTTCATCCGCGTCATCGGCTCCGAGCTGGTGCAGAAGTACGTGGGCGAGGGGGCGCGCATGGTGCGCGAGCTGTTCGAAATGGCCAGGTCGAAGAAGGCGTGTCTGATCTTCTTCGACGAGATCGATGCGATCGGAGGGGCGCGGTTCGATGACGGCGCCGGCGGGGACAACGAGGTGGGTGGTCTATTTTTTTTTAAGTTCTGGTTCCCACGAAAAGGGACATCCTGTAATGTTGAAGCTGTTGTTATAACTGAGACATGGATGAATAAAGAAGAAGAAAAGTATTACAATTTCAAGAACTACAATGCAGTATACGCAAGTTGCGAAAAACGAGGATGTGGTGTAGGAATTTTCATTCATGAAAATTTCTATTTTGATATAATTCAGAAAGAAGAATCCCCTATAACATATTTGGCAATTAACATCGAATCTGCGCGTGAAGAAAGGTATGGGTGAATCGAAATGAAGGCAGATGAAAATGTGGGTGAATATTACAAAATGGCTCTGTTTCTTTTTGATTCTGTCGAATAGCTCGGCACGCGAAGGATGGTTACATTGAAGAGTGTTTTTGAAATTAATGAATGAAGCAATAATTCTCCGATACAACTTGGCAACCACGCATTTCCTCACCACTGGAATCGGATTTTTGTTTACTCGTTACCATGACGATCGTTGCCATGGCTATAGTTTTTCCATAACTGATTTCAGCCAAACTAAACCCGATACAACTTGGCAACCACGCATTTCCTCACCACGATAATCGGATTTTTGTTTACTCCTTACCATGACGATCGTTGCCATGGCAATAGTTTTTCCATAACTGATTTCAGCCAAACTAAACCCGATACAATTTGGCAACCACGCATTTCCTCACCACGGGAATCGGGTTTTTGTTTACTCGTTACCATGACGATCGTTGCCATGGCAATAGTTTTTCCATAACTGATTTCAGCCAAACTAAACCCGATACAACTTGGCAACCACGCATTTCCTCACCACGGGAATCGGGGTTTTGTTTACTCCTTACCATGACGATCGTTGCCATGGCAACAGTTTTTCCATAACTGATTTCAGCTCTACTAAACCCGATACAACTTGGCAACCATGCATTTCCTCACCACGGGATTTTGTTTTCTGTTTACCTGTTACCATGACAACGGTTGTCATAGCAACAAATTTTCCATAACTGATTTCAGCTAAACGAAACTTGAACCTTTGAGATGAATGGATATTAGGAAAAAAACATATGCAGAGAGCCCTACAAAACCAACCCAGAGCGCAATGCAGGCTCATGTTTCCAGAAAGTTGGTAGGTTAATTGATTTAATTGATTCTTGGGTTTTCTTGCAATGTCCAGTTGATGTGTCTTCTGAGGAGATGATGTCATGAGGCATGATATTGTTTGGAAATGTTGAACTTTCACGATGTTTCACCAAAATATCGAGTCATGCTTCCAACGAATCATATTTTTTATTATTTTCGTCAAATTTGACTATCAGAATTTCGCAAAATTCTCCAAGTCTATCGTTCTTCTTCGTAAAAATAGTATTCCAAACATCTTTTGGTATGATTCTTGATGAAATCACTGAAATGCTCCTGTAGTAGTAGTTTTTTTAATGTACTCTGTCAGCATTTCCTTCATATCCGAAAATTCCATCGAATCACTAACATGGATGTTGAAATGTCTTAAAATTTGTATGATGTCGCCTTCGCTCAACTGCTCCATAATATAACGTCGGGGTCACCAAATCGTGGATACAATTGATACAAATTATAAGACTGAGTTGTTATTATATTATAAAAATGTCACATCAATGTCAGACTATCAAATCATAATATACAAAGTATATAACATAACTAGTCACTTATGGTTACTCTGGTCAGTTCACTTTGTGAATCTTATGTTCGGTTCGAATGGACTGAATGGTTTTCTTCCATTGAGTGGCAAGTATCTAATACTGCTTCTCTGATCTGCAACAGAACATCACATATCAATCGAAGTACATTCATATCAGAAAATAAAAATCATTAGATGAATTACATGGATGTTGAATCTGAATAATAATTTCAACGTCCGTAACTGGATTGCTACATATCCGCTTTCTTTCCGAATAGTGTTTTTTCCAGTAGGCATCTACCACATTTTCAATTACGTACGTGGGTTATATTCAGGATCTTGAAGGCCAAACGATGTGCTGCTCGGATCTAAAACTAAGGATCAATTTCAAATTTGAATCGTGAGACCTACATAGAATATTGGATATTGTTGTCAATATTCGTAACTGGAACGCGATATATTTTTGTAATTCATCAATTCATCAACTATCTCAATGAAGACGAGACAGGCAGATAAACAACAATTTTCTCTGCAATGAAGAACACTGTATATACCTAACCCACCATGCGCCTACCTTCTTTGCCGAGAGGGTTCATAAACGCCGAGTTGATACTCTCCCCTCGTAAGGGTATCTGTCGTGTTTTCATAGAGACATAAAGGTGAATATCTGTCTTAGAGCTCTGCGCGGGCCAGATTTTTGAGGCCCGCCCCGACCCGCATGTTTATGAAATGAAACCCGACCCGCAGCAACCCGCACGGCATAAAATGTAACGCAGGCCCGCGCGGTCCGCAGTTGACAACATTTTAGCCCGACCCGCGGTATGACCCGCATGTTTTCAAACTCGGCCCGCGTAGCTCACTCGGCCCGCGTAGCTCACTCGGCCCGCGTAGCTCACTCGGCCCGCGTAGCTCACTCGGCCCGCGTAGCTCGATCGGCCCGCGTGGCTCACTCGGCCCGCGTGGCTCACTCGGCCCGCGTGGCTCACTCAGCCCGCGTGGCTCACTCGGCCCGCGTGGCTCACTCAGCCCGCGTGGCTCATTCGACCCGCATGGCTCACTCGGCCCGCGTGGCTCACTCGGTCCACGTGGCTCACTCAGCCCGCGTAACCCACTTATGGAAAGAAACTTCAAACATATTTTGACCTAAGGAAATAAATCCCACCCTGAATTTTCACTCGATATCAATGATATGCTGATGTGTTTGATTGAAGTGTTAATAAGCAGTGAAATTTATTGAGATCAATTCAATTGAATGATTGAATGCTATATCTTTATGTAATTCATCAATTGGAAGATACTTACCTCTAGATTATTCGATTGTAATATTTTCCTAAGGGAGTTACTCGACATTCGAGAATATTGGTTCAATAAAAACGAATGCGATTTGTATAAAATATATTCCTCTCAAGCTCTCAACAAAATAAATAAAATTAACAAAAGACTCATTATTCATAACATTCACATCACCAAAACGAGTGGAATTGATATAAAATAAAAATACTTATGCCGACTAGAAAATTTCAACTAAGGAACATTCTCTTGAAGTTTTCACGAAGAATAGTGGAACTAATAAAAAATAACAAATGTACTTATAGGCAATAACACACTTGAAAAGTCAAATAGAAATAACAAATCAACAACTACTTAAGTAACTAAATATACGCCGGACACTCGGCCGGACAAATTAATGATAAACGCTCTGAAAGAAAAAAACATGTCTGAAACGAGGTTTCATTAGAAAAGATGATTTAAGTGCTCGAAGCTCGAATTGAATAATGATAAATCAAGATGGTATGGTAAGTCAATAGTCTTCAATTCGAAACACTTGCTATGAGTAGGTATGCCGAGGGAGGGGTATGCTAAATTATATTTGGAAATAATAAAAAACTATAGTGACAATTCAGAATTTTCAAACTAGAAGTTGCTGTGCAGGAATAAAATTGAGTCCACATTTTCAGGTTTCAAACATGTTCTTCTCTCTTCTAGAACACGCCCAGCAGTGCTGAAGTTCCGTTCACTCGATGCACTTGAAGCGGGTATACCTATATATTGAAAATAAATGCCATCAATCATCTTCGAATTGACACTATTATTGTCGATATGAGAAGTCATATTGGCACTAAACAGGGTGTCCTATGAATATATATATATATATATATATTAGGTATACCGACACACTCCGAGGGTGGTAGGGGACATTGCAACAAACATTTTCTGGCAACATATATACCCGAGTATATACCTGAATCGTTTTCGGAAATATGTTGATAAAGCAAAAAGTTGAGTTCGTCGGTATATTTATGGGACACCCTGCATATAGTGTTAATGAATTCATATCGATATTAGCGATCATCAATAAAAAAAACCTACCTACCTACCTATTGAACTTAAATAGTCATTTTTGTATATAGAATGCGAAATGCTACTTTTGCGTTTAAGAATGGAAGTTACGAAAACTCGTGTATGTAAGGCTTTGCAAACCTCGTAGCAAACTAATGTATTGTGCAGGTACTAGGTAGTAGATACTGCGTGTATGAGGACATAAATCGCATATTTTAACATATTACTCGAATTTTTCAACTCTGCACAAATGAAGATTGGAGAACATTTTATGTATTAAGCGAGGTATTAAGCCACATTCCGTAATGAGTTCAATGAAACAATGATACGATTACTCTTCCATATTTTGTTCAATGAGTAGTGAATCTATGAATTGTTATCAATATATTTTCAAAGGTGCGTACTTCCTAGTAATATAGCTAGTATCGTTGAAATAGTGATGATGATCACATCTATTATGTTATCGAATATCGAATATAGATGAAATAATTATCCTCAGTTCACTTACCCAAGTATTTCCGTGCAAGTGATGAGAGAACGGGAAATTTGCTGGAGTTCTTCGACCACCATCCCAATATATTCCCGTCATCAGGTGGATGTTCCATATATCTGCTTAATTCATTTTCCTTCACTGAAGAAGAGCTTATATCTTCCTCCCAATCACAAAATAAGCTTTCCCTATTTGCAGTGGTATGCGAACGCGCTTCAGCCCCTGTTTCATTTATGTCTTGCTTATTAGATGTATTTGTGTTTTCTGTTTCCTCGATTATCGATCGTATTTTCGAAATAATATTAGTTTTATCTGTTTCGGGTAACATTTTTAATGATTTGAACTTCGGCCACAAAAATATTGACATTAAATGTTCTTCACTCAAAATCAGTTTCTGAACCATCACTTCTTTGGCACGTATATTGAGGATATTATAATTCTTGTTTTCGAATTTGAATTCGTTGAAATGTTTTATGAGTTTATAATAACAAAGAGTAACAAATGGAAA